CAATCATCATCTCCACGCCCATCGTTCATTTAAAGCGACTTTAAAGAAGAAGATTGAAAGCCATTTTCGATGATTCAATTATACTTTTTACGGGAGCATTTAAGTACACAACAATATCCCATTGAGACTCTAGATTGATCGAAAAAGGGTAACCACAATGATCCAGATGTGGAAAAATTGTTCAAAAAGTTCAAACTGGATCTTTAAAAAGTTTGAATTTTGTTGCTAAAAGTAATACTGGATGTGCCTAATATGGATTTATCGGTATCTTGCTAATTCATTAAAGTGCAATCTTTTTGATACTTTTCTTACTTTTAATTAAATTTATTGAACTTAACACAAAATTGCTTCATAGTTTCTTTATAAAACTGTAAGCATCAAAGCATGTTTAATCTATTGAAAGCTATTGAGGCTTGATATATGAATCAATCTAGAAATTCAGAAGAATCTATTTTTTTACACAATTTGTAAACAGAGAAAGCAATCAACTTTAATTGAAAATTTCTAAAGTTGGACAGTGATTCCAAGCTATTTATAATCGCCAATAACCAAGATCTTTCATTTGACATTAAGAGTATAAAGTTTTAATTGACAATTTTTGAACATTTTTTCCAAATCTAAATCATTTGGCACTTTCATGTGTGCACATACACAAATTTGCTTTTTGTTTACCTTATAGTCGATTGAATTGTGCACGACCTCATCATCAACTTCACTCGGTGATTTTTTTTACTGTAATAAAATAAAGTTAGACAGAAAAAATTATATAAATTATTAAAATCAGAAATTCTACGATCATAACCACACCTCACGATTTTCTTAGTCGATAGGCGCACTCATTCAGCTTACTTGTTTACTTCTTACCACACGAGGAGAATATTTCTCTCTTTCTATTGCTTACTCGCTGTTCCATCAATCGACTTACTTACATACTTTACAATTTTTGTTGTTGTTCATTTCGGATCTTTTTGAAGAGCGATAATAACAAGAAATTTATTCCTCATTCCATATGCTTTATGGAACTATGGACTTTTATATCCAATTTATTTTCAGTTGTTTCACGTCTCGCGAGTGATCAAAATAGAAAAATTACGAGACTATTGTGTGAATAGTGTCATTGGAATTGATGGCTGATAGTCAAAGTCATTCCATAAATCAATTTGTTCTTACGATAATGCTCTCTGGAAACCTTCCGTCATGATCAATTGAAATTATGATTTCTTACGAATAGAAATAAATGACACTTTGATTATGGACGAATGAGTGATTTATGCTGTACATAACTGGCACGGAAAATTGATAATGAAAGAATTTGTCATCGCTACTGTGACTAATTATGTGTGGACTGATTCAGATGCTTTATTTAAAATTTAAATTGCGATTTTAATTGAGGCCAATATTAAAAGTCAATTTTAATTTAAAATCTTTGTGAAACCACACAATAGCAATTATTTGACTGAACATTTGTAAGGTTATCAAATTTTTAAAAAATGAATTAATTCCTCAATATCTCACGTGATTCGAGTTCTCCAAGTAAAAATATCTAGTAACACTTCGTAATTACATCAACATCTTTAACCTACATAATAAAACACGTATAAAAATTAACAAATTATCAACAATTTTCAGCTAAATTATAAAAAATAAAATAGAGTTTTCAAATGACTTGACTCTTTGATAGATTCCCAACAATCTATACCTTGAAGAGAGGTTAAGAATAATTTAATCATCATTTTCTCTTTGCTTTAGATCACTCTAAATTGCCTATTTATAAACAGATCATGGTCTAATCTCGATTTTATTTTCCAATCAAGTCTTCAAAGCTTCAACTCAGCTAAGAAATGTAAAGCTAGCATGAACTATATGCAGGGTGGGTGATTTAAATCAAAAATCAAAATCTTTTTGCAATGATTTTAAAAAGGGATTTTGATTTAAATCATTTTACCCAAGTGATTTTTTTCTCGATTTTGATTTAAATCATTTTTGCAAAGAGATTTTTTCTGGGGATTTTGATTTAAATCTCTTGTATGAATGATTTTTTTTTTTTGGGATTTTAAAATCCCTCCATACAAAATTTTATATGCGATTTCTCAAATTATTTTTCAAATCAACAGTTTTCAGTTGCAGTTCCTCATAATTAAGAATGCAGTTGATCCTTTTTTGGCCAGAATCTTGCAATCTGCAATCTTTTGTATGGAGGGATTTTAAAATCCCAAAAAAAATCTTTCATACAAGAGATTTAAATCAAAATCCCCAAAAAAATCCCTTTGCAAAAATGATTTAAATCAAAATCGAGAAAAAAATCACTTGGGTAAAATGATTTAAATCAAAATCTCTTTTAAAAATCATTTTTCATTGAGATTTAAATCAAAATCAAAAATAAATTCTGCGATTTTGATTTAAATCGCAAAAAATCTCCCCACCCTGACTATATATGTTTTTTTACATAAAATTGATCTTGCCATCTAAAATGTAACGATTCATTTTGAGAAGAAAAAAAAAAATGTAATATCATTTATGAATGGGAAATGTGATGGAAAAATTACTCGGTTATGATGTTTGAGAGAAGTAGGTTAATAATACCAATTTGCATTTTGTTGTTACACAAAAAAATCATTACATAATATCTTGTTTTTGTTTTATATATAGTCATGTATATGGCTGATGGATGATCGATGGATGGTTGGATAGATAAATCTTCTTACTTACTCATTTACTTTCTGTTTTTAACTTTCTGCCCCCTTTTGTCGTCAACATTTCTAAAGTAAATGTGCCATTTCTTTAATCACTTTATCTGACTTGTCGGATTAGTAAAAAGACATGCTTGAGACTTGTCATGACATGCTGCTTACATTCTTAACATGGAACCTTGTCTTTTCTTGCTGTTGTCAGATTGTGGCTTGATAAAGAATTTTTACATTGTGAAATTGTGTCTTGGATATTTTTTGAACTTTCAGTTCAAATTTGTTCAAAACTTTTTGAAAAATCGTTAAATTTTGAATTCGATTAAAAGTAGAACTTTGAATTTTTTTATAACCGTTAAAAATTGCCATAATTTAAATCTTTTAATCCGTGAAATAAAATTCTCACGTAAACTTCAAATGCGCCTCAATATTCAACCGAAACCAACTCTTTAACCCAATTATCTAGTTAACAACAGAAACAACCAACATAGTGCAAAACAATTAATGAATTTAAAGTTGGCTGAAAATAGATTTAGCGATAATTATAGTTTATACTAGTTTATATACACAAGAATGAGAGAGCGAAGTAATAAATGGGAGATAGATTAATTTACGCATTTTTAATTAATTTTCAAGGACGCACCCGTCGATTCATTTTACAATAATCATTGTGAATGGAAAAAGAAAAAAAAAGTTCACATTCAATTTAAATGGATATTAAGTGAGCGTTAGATACTCTTTGTGAATATGAAGCAGCTAATAGTAATTTCAAAAAATGGCAAAAGGTGTTGAGAGGAGCTATTGACAAAATATAAAAAAAAAATTATAACAGAATGCCTGCTATGAGATTACAAGTTCGGGAGGGGAGATAAGATAAGATAAACGTGGTGTCATAAAAATTCCAAACTGCCTTTTATGGAAGTCAATGTGAATGAGGAATTTTGTGCTTTCAAGCATTTCCCACCCAAATACAAAAAAACTAGGTTCATCGCTTAGTGATAATAACGACATTAATAGAATTATCTCGACCTTAATGTGCAAATAATAATCCATTGAGCATCATGTAATACGATATAGACACGAAGCCATGTAAAAGTCAAAAAAATTATTTTACTTAAAATAAGATGAATGGATGTGAAAGTGACACATACACTGAGCTTTCTGAAGGGATAAGGAGGCTGTGCCTTCTCTCATCAACATTATTTTAATTTAAATATATGCAAATGCCTCTTATGACATAAAAATAAAATCACATAGTGAACGAGTAATAACAATAAGCCATTGACCGAGTGTATATATTGATCACTGCCTGCAGTAGCATTATTATTACTTCACAGTTGATTTATCTCTTTATAACGACTTTTTTTATAAATTTTTCCCATGGAACTGCTGATCTTTTTGGTTTAGAGAATATTTTCTGATAAATTTAGCTTATTGCGTAAGAAACTTGATGACTTTATTGTTAAATGTGTGTCATAATGTCAAAAGAGAATCAATTAAAGCTGCTTGGCTAATAAAAATCAATTTTAATGCAACATCATCGACAATGGATCAAACATTCATTTCAAATTTGGAAAAGCTGTTGACATCAAACAAATCGGATTAGCCTAAATACCCTCTATTAATTGAAACACAACAAACGATTGAATATGAATATGGAAACAGATATCGACGCCTACAATGACTTAACACTTAATTGTGCTTAGCAATGACAATATTATGACAAAATATTTACAAATTAAAGCATCAAGTTTTACAAATAAGCGTGTAAAGTTTTGGATTGGGGCTATTTATTAATTATGGTCTGCAACAAATTGTAATCGGACCCCCTACCCCTCGTTATCTAAACTATTATAAAATCTCAAGCCCCCTTTCATAAAACCGAACAGAACATGTGAATGGTATACTTCAATTGTAACGTTTGCTTTGAAGAAGGGGAGGGGGGAGGGGAGGCTTTTGTAACTGTTTGTATCATATTTTGGCATACCGTAATATGTGAATGACTCCTTTAGATTATTAATTATGAGCCAGCAAATTAAGACTCATGATTGAGTTTACATAAAATTATTTGTTCCCATTAAGTATGCATTGCAAAAAAATAAAATACATGAGTAGTTCATAAATGACGTCACAACCCCACACTGTGTTACAGGGGAGATTGGTAAGAAGTTTTAAAGCCGTCATTTATGAACGACCATTAATTATAATTATTTCAGTGTTAACTTGCAGACAGAATTGTTTGTTATTTCACACATAAAGACACAAATGACTAAACAATCGTTCTTTTCTCTTTCTTTCTATTATTATTATTTGTAGACTTGGCATAAAACGTGCTTTAAATGTACCGAATGCAACATGGCTCTCAACATGAAAACATACAAGGGCTTTAACAAAAATCCATATTGTGAAGCGTAAGTTAAACACTTAATTTTTTTTCATATTCCTTAATGACAAAATGTGCAGACTGTAATGGTCTGAAAAATGTAACAATGTCGTTAGTTGTTGTTATACAACAGAGACATATCATTTTCCAAAAAGCAGCATTATCTCATCTGATGCATCTGCATCTCTATGCATACATAATGTATCTTTTCCGTCTTATAAACTCTCGACTAGAATAGCAATTGTGTGGCTGAATGCAGATTTTCTCATGAAATTTTTATTTCCCTATCGTCGCCATAAAGCACATTTTGCATCATTTACCATCGCTTTTCTTGCTGATTTTGAAAGTCTAAGTGAAAATTAAAATCATCATTTTCTCATTATTATTTTTTTTTTCGTATGCTACAGACTTGATGACAACCGTAATTAATCTCCAACTAATTTTGAAATAATGTTTTATTTATGTGTGTGAATGAATGTCTTTGCGTTAATAGTTGTGCGAAGATAAAAAGGATTTTTGGCACAAAAACAAACTATCTGAAAGCAGCCGAGCTAGCTCAGTCGGTAGAGCATGAGGCTCTTAACCTCAGGGTCGTGGGTTCGAGCCCCACGTTCGGCGATTCTTTTTTGCTTTTTTTTCCTGTGTGTTCTAACTTAGTTTCATGTTGCCTGCTTCAGACTTAATAATTTTTTTTGATCTTCTTCTGTTTCATTTTCCGTTCTGTTCCATCAATTGACTGATCCCCCCAAACTAATATTCCAGTCACATTTTTTGATTGAATTTATTATCAAAGCTTAATGTTACAGAAGGAATTTTTTTTGCTGTTTACGTGCTGACAGACATGCTCGATGTGTTATGAAATTAATAACAGCTCAAATAAATCAATTATTAACGCATTCGTTATCGGTCGCGTGATTGCTTTTTTTTTGTTTGAAGATATGTAATGAATTTTGTGATAAGTTTATGGAATGCGTATTGATCAAGTTTCTATTGCTGCTTGGTCTATAGAATTGAATTTTATAAAAAAAATAATAATAGTCAGGGGGTTTTAAGTGCTATCCTTCACTTTTGAAAAATATCACTAATTTGTCATACCCCCCCCCCCCCCCCTCCCTTAAAAAAAACGAAAAAAGTGGCAAAAAAGTGCGCAATCGGCAGGATTCGAACCTACGCTCCAAGATGGAATCTGATTTCAAGTCAGACGCCTTAACCACTCGGCCACGACTGCTTATTAATTGATGTTTGAATTTTCACTCAAGACATGCCAGTCTTTAAGAAACACTTTTAATCTCCATGAGCAACAAATTGTTTTTTTTTTCGGAATCAGAGTTTTGATTCCCAAACCCTCAGCGAAATAACCTAATAACAGTAAAACAGACAAAGTGGCGACAAAAGCGTTTATCGGGTGAAGATGAAGTTGGAAAATGCGCTATATATGATTGAAGTGGAAAATTGCCTTGCTCATTTAATTCTATTTTTCTAATTTGTTAATGCAAGATCATACACAATTGATGAAAAATTATCCATGTCTCGAAAAAAATAAAGTAAAGCTATATATCTTAGCCTAGTTCAACTAATCGAATGTATTCTAAGAATAGCGAGGTAACTTACATTTACACTCCATATATCCACAACAGTAAGAAGTTCAAACGATTTATCATTGGCGTCTTTACGACGTGGATTTAGCGCTCTATATGTTTGCACAAAGGTGAAGCTTAAGGCGAAATGGAGATCATAATTCTTTCAACTTTAAATTTATCTTTCGTTCGCTCATTCTTTCCCTCGTGTCATTAATGTCCAACATAACTTGTGTGATAATTACTGATGCTAACAATTCATTCATCATCTATTCAGTTAGTTAAACACGGTTACTATTTATTTTCTAAATACTACTGTAAGCTAATTTAAAATCTTATAATAATAGACGACGGTGTTATTATCATTGTTTGTAATGAGCCACTTTAAAGAAATGACTGTGGCTGAAATAAGGCTGGAATTGATATTTTCATATTTTTATTTGCTTCTCATCTTGAGGGGTTCATCACTCATTGATGTCTAGCTTTTTCATGGGTTTTGAAGCTACTTTAAATAAATTTTGAACATCCAGAGAATAGGAAAATTAGAAACCCAATTTTTCGATAAACGTAATTTATGAACGACCCCTAAAATGAATGAAATAAAATTGAAAATTACTTTCTTCTGCAATTTCATGCTGTTTATAACACCATTTTCAGTTCCTTATTTTTAAGCACTATATATAATAATTGTGTGCAAGGAAAACAGTTATGGACAATTGTATTTCCATTTAAAGTTGTTGGTTTCTTTCTTAAATGTCACCGATTTCTTCAATTTCTGCATAATTTATACTTTTAGTGTTTAGTTTTTAATGTTCTTATGCATTTAAGCACGATAAATAAAAGAGGAGATGAAGTCGATATATCTTTCTTTCCTAGCTGGAAGCAATTCCATGATCTTAGAGGAGATGAAAGTTTTTACTTTTGTGCTGTAGACAGATGGCATGGATAATTTTAAGCGCATTTACGTTAATGTTCTGTGTAATTTCTGGTAATTTTCACGAGTTTTTAATTTGATGGTCAATTTGTTGATGTTTAAATTTATTTCTTTTTGACTGATCGCTTTCAGAACAACTTAAATTATTTTTAAAAGCTGAAATTAAAATCTCATAAATTGACATTTAAAAGAATCAAACATTTATTAATACCAGAACCTTCCAAATTCAATCATTTTCCTGTTAAAACCCTACAAATACCATTTATTTAAAACCTTACAAATTCAAAGGACTTGATATTCAGAACACTTCAAATTCACGTTCTGTGAATGAAAGAGCCTTACAAATGTTTCATAATCAGAACCTTTCAAATCCCGGTTTTAAAAAACCCGTTTAAATTCTAGTTTCTTAATTCAAAACCATACAAATTCTCAAAAAGGGTTTGAAACTATGATATAATTTTTAAAAATTATACGGTTTTTTGAAAATTTTGACTTTAAAAATAAAAAATTTCAAAATTCAAACACAGCTTAACATAACAAAATTCTAAAAGAAAACTCAAACCTGACAGTCATATCAAATCAATTAATAATAAGTTCATTTACCATTAAAGCTTATCAAATTGATAATTTTTATCAAATTTACAGTTCCACAATTGAAGCGAGTCATTAAGCAATACAAAGTTATAAGATTTGTTCCATAGAAATTAATACCTTCGAAGACATTAGTAAGCCTCTTTTATTCTTAATTCCTACCTCCAACTTTCCTCATTCATTGTTGAGAGATAGGTCAGCATTATTCATTTATTTATGCCAAATGTTGAAGGATTTTCAATAATTTTTATTTTTTTTCCTACACAAAAGTCATAATCAATTTATTAAAGAGCTGCATACATTTAAAATTTAAATGTACTATGAAGGCAATAGAAATAATATTTAAATGCGTTTTTAAATGAAGTACATAAGAGGGGCTTATATTTCATTGAATGGCAATACCATATGCTAAACATGGCATCATGAATAATGTTTTTGCACATCATTTAAGAGAGCTTGTAGAGAGTTTTTCTAGAAAATAATATACTCGATGATATATCAATTTACATTAAAAGGTCTACGAATAAATTTTGTATGAAAATTTTATAAAAGTATAGACTTTTGAAAATAAATAAATATATTGTTTGTGGCACAATAGATGATATCTTCAATTCCTCAGTGGATATCGACCGGCTGACTGATTGATGGGTACTCTTATAACTTAGACTCAAGTTGTCATGATTGTATCCATTTACTTTATTCAAATTGTCTTCAGTTTATTGCATGCCGGCGTCTTTATTTCATTTCGGGGTGATAATTTTGTGAAATCGACAGTAATCATCGACAAGCATCAAGCAGAGACTTTATTTCATTGACACATTTTTAAATCTGATAAAATGTTTACGAACCAATTGATGGAGATGTTAATGGCTTGAATGAAAGTTTGTTTTAAAGACTGGTAGCTGTTAACAAGCATTTTATTTCCATGTCATATAATTCTGAACAACTAATTAGCTGCAGATGAGCCGTGTGTGTGGCAGGTTTAAAAGATTTAAGAGTGGATTGGTGGGAGTCAAATTGTGAACACATTAAATAGTTTAGAGAATTGAGCTGATTGGAACCTTAAAATCGCTGCAGATTGATGAATCTTCATTAAAAATAGGATTTGATCAACATTGACATGCCTGATGCTTGATGAAATGTCAGATATTTAGTAAAAAAACCCAAAAGAAGTAATTTTCAATCCTAATTTGGTTAATTCCTTTAAAATGAGAATTTGTACAACAGGAAGTGCCTAGAAAATTGCCGATTTCCGTTTAGAACCTTTCAGACTTTGAACTGTTCTTGAATCATACCAAGATAAATGACAGATGCTCAAATCCAGTTGAAATTCAGACTTAACTGAAGATCAACATCCATCCAGCTTATCAAAATAATCTGAATAGCAAACAGAATACAATCAGTAAAAAAGTCAACAGCCATGTTCTTCCTAGATGTAGAATAGTCATGAAATGCTCGAAATTTCCTGCTTTAGATTACCTTCTTCTAAAAATCAAACCGAACATTCTTTATTTCTAATCATTGACTAACCATAAAAGCAAATAAATTTGAATACAAAAGCTCATTCATTCCGCGAATATCCGATAAGAATTCAAGCGTCAAACGAGAATTTGATTAACAATTAAAGAGCAATAAATGAAAATGTTAAAAAATTCAGCAAACCACTTAATCACTTCCACTAAAACTTGGAATGCAAGACTCATAAATATCAAGTCGTTCGTAAAGCAATAATCAAAACGCAAAAATTTCCTGTCTACACGAATGTTTTATCTATCAGTCACGTGTGTGGTAGAGGAATAGATTGTTTTCATACAAAAGAATGTCAGGAATAAACATTTCGTTCCAAAAAACCAAAACCAAAAAAAGAAGAATGAAAATGTAGGCAAAAGAAACAACAAAAAAGTTCAAGGTCATCAAGTCAAAACAATTTACAAAAACAACAAATTTAACATGCCAAAAAATAAATTGACCAAAAAATCTAATGCGGTTTGACAATGCCTGTGACAATTGAATGGATCGTTTTGGGGGAACGAATTTATGAATTGAAGTTGAATGTCAATCACACTGCGTATGTCAACGCTTCATTAGTAATTTTATAGACCTTATTTAATTTTGTAGAAAAAGAGCTCAAAATTATATGCAGAAAGATTGAAAGATAATACAAAACATGTTTTGTTGACGACGATTGATTCAAAGACACTTTGCTGCGCATTTCTTGAATGGAAATAGTTTGAGAATGAGTCAATTTACTCGTTTTGTTGCTTAATAAAGATTTAATGAGGAAATTTTGATTTCAACTGTTGGTTTAAATTTGAAATTCTTGCATCAATTTATAAGAGATGCAAAAATTTAAATGTCGAAAATCCGTTAGAATTGAATTGCAGTCCATAACGCAGCTACAACAACACGAAATACATGCTTTAACATAAAACATTTGATGTAATTTAAGGAGATTTTACGATTTCTTTTAAAGCATTTGAGTCAACAATTAACCGCGATTCTTTTACTTCTCACAGAAAAATAACTTCATCTCATTTACTGTGTGATAATTTCCATCGTCGGCCCGTTGGTCCACATTTGCACTAAATTTTCATTTGTAAAACACATTTTTTGTTAAAGACTCTGACCCGTTTACGGGCTTCTGATTCGAAATTTTTCTCCTAATTACAGCGGACAGAACAATAGCTTTTTTTATTTAATATATTAAATGGAATAATAATGAAGAAAGATTAGAGTCGAGGTCGATGGAGGCTTTTTTGAGAAAATTAGCTTTTCAAGACTTTTGGCACCGACATATGCATTGTAACACAATACTCATTTTTATGAATATTCATTCAAGCGTACTTTAAAGTGACAAATTGAAAAAAGCCTGTGGCATAACAATGAAATTTAAATTTACAAGTAAAAGATATACTTCATGCTTTAAATTATTATTTGGTCTACCCACCTGCGTCTTTGGACTAAAATTTGATCAAGTGATTTTCGGATAAAAACTCTATCAATTTTGATAAAAATAATATATCCATATAGCAAGCATAATTGTTCGAATAAGTGAAAGTTTAAGTATATATACGGAACTGGAGCTGGAAATGGAAATGAAGCAATAATAAAATTGTCAAGTTTGAGACGCCTTTTATGTCGCAATGTTGTCTAATCAGATTGTTTGAAATCCACATTGGTAAATGGCTGTAAATGTTTGTTCAATTAAGCATTACAATTGCATCATCATTATCGGCTACTCAAGCCATTATTTTGCTGATTGTAAACGAGATTTTGACTCAATTCGAACGTGTGGAAAAATTTCACATGCCTTCCTTTTTCGTCTGTGTTGAGTCAAATAAGCTATTAAAAAATTCAATTTCCTCTTCAATCAATTTAAAAATATTAGTTTTGATTTCTGGAGAATCGATTTGCCTTTTCTTGAACGTGTGTGCATACAAAAATTAATTGGAGAAAATAAAGGCATTGTTTAAATTAGATTTATTTATAGATTTTTGTGTTTCGGTATGAACAGATTGAGAAATGTTTGTAATAGAATAGAATTTGGATTTTATTGTTTTGTAAAATGACGCAATAGAGGGACAAAATGATGCGAATTTTGAGTCAATTTAAAACATTCTAATTAGTTTCACATCCTTGATTATGATGCAAAAAAAAACTTAACCATAAAGATGCAAAAACGATTAAAAAGATGCAGAAAATTTCACAATGACGAAAAAATTCAAAGTTATGCAAAAAGTTTTAAATGATAAAAAACTTTGAAAATGATGCAAAAACTTTTCAAAGTGATGCAAAAACTTTTCAAAATGATGCAAAAACCTTAAAACTAGACAAAATTTGATGCAAAACTTAAATGAGAATTGATGCAAAATCAAAAGTTTTCTAAAATTTCTAATGTCAAACAAAATTTCACAAAAACACAAACGCAATCTCTGCTCGAAATTGACAATTACATTGACATTGTACCTGACTTCCTAAAATTGCAAATTTCCCCAAAAAAACACACCTCCTACCTCGCTCTAAAATTAAAATTCAAAATAACTTTTTGCAGCTAGTCTAAAAAATAGGAATACATTAATTTCATGAGCGTACATGCATTATTCAATTAAACATAGTCATACATGTTATTTGAAGGTGGACCCACATTAAAGCATAAACAAATGAAAAGAGAGAAGAAGAAAAAAAGATTGTTTTACAAAATTATAAACACACATTGTAGTCAAATGCACTCGTACATGCTTTGCATTTATAAAAATTTTAATTTTGTCTTCTTTTCCCAGGCACATTCCAAAAGCGAAAGCCACAACGATAGCTGAGACTCCAGAATTAAAACGGATTGCCGAAAACACAAAAATTCAATCAAATGTACAATATCATGCTGCATTCGAGAAAGCAAAAGGAAAATTGACACAGGTAAGTCAATCGCGAGTTGGGGGGACGTTCTGATGTTACGGAGTTTTGCTAGAGTTAGAGCTTGATCAGAGCATAGCTATGCATCATTAAACTACCTTGTTTTGATGATAACTTTTCAATCAATTCCTATCTATGCTGATCGATCAATGACTAATCTCAGCATGACATAACATCTAAACGAACCCCAAATAAAGGCAGAATCCGATAATTAAAATCGATGTCGTTTGTATCTTAAAAATAGATTGCCGATGATCCTGAAACATTAAGAATCAAGCAAAATACCATGAATATTTCCAATGTCGCGTATCATGGCGAGATTCAGAAGAAAGCAGCTATGGAACGACAACGCGAATTAACCGATGTAATAGACATTCGAGGTAAGTGTCCATCTATGTCGTGTCTCAACTGAATTTTATGATCGATTCTTTTTTTATATATTCGTTCAATTAAGAATAAGTACTAATCAGAATAGACTTTATTCTTGTTCCTTAATGAACACATTTAGTTTTGTGCCATTAAATAAAGTAATTTTTTTTACTGAGGATGTTTGATGTCAAATAAAATATAATTTCCTGGCAAATTGTTAATGCTATTTAATATACTTATTTTCCACTCAAATAAAAATAAGTATTCTTATAGCTTACTCTTTGTTCTCTTCTTGTTCCTCAATTGTGACATTCTTACAAATTTCTTCAAGTACAAATTAAGTTTGAAATGTTTATGTTTTGTTGGCTCTTAGAGCGCATTTTAATTGTTTTTGAGTTATTGGGTAGCATAGTGCCCTTGTAGCTGTCCTAAAATCCTTAGAAATATTGAATTTTAAATCAAATTGAGGGCCACACATTTTCCTTAAGTGATAGAATAAGATCATGTCACAGGGACGTAGCCAATGAGAAGTTTAGAGACAAAAACTTTATATTTGATAGGATTTTCAAAAAACCTGACTCAAATTCCTACCATTTTTCTGTCTATACAAAGTCATCCCGAACCAAACTTAAAATTAGCCTTTACTATGTCATAATATTGTGAAACTCTAAACAATTTTCAAAACTTCCAATCCTATTAATAAATCCCCCATTCTCAGTATGTACTTGATAATTATTCCTAGAATTCGTTACACTCACAAATTTATTTTATGGAACATAAATGAATCATCAAACCACGTTTAGTATAAACGATTAAGAGAATGTTTGTATCATCCTCTCAATTGATCTGCATAGCTGTAATAGTGTATTGTCTCCGACGTGACTAGAGTTTTTAATGATCTCAGCATATATTCTTTGAAGATTTTCTTTAACATCGACTGAATCAATTGAGATCATTGGACAGACAGAGAATCTTTTTTTTTTGAAATGTTCTGACCTAATTGTGAAATTTTTTTCAATGTTTTGTTAGGACTTGAATGAATCTTAATTAATATAACTGTAGTCTGGGTTAGGTATGGATTCTAAGTTTGGAGATTGACTGCTTCGAGGGCAGAGTTGCTTAACTTTTTTCTAATGAGACACACTGAATTTCACTTCTCTAAATTTGGCATGTCGATATACTTTTTACGTCATACTAGTTTGTCTAATAGGATAGTTTGATTAGGACTGCTCTACTTAGTTCAAAGCTATAGGAACCTTAAATAGAAACCGCAAAAAGTCAGACTCCCTTCTCTCATCTTATTCCAAATTTTTTCATAAAATATAAACAATTCATTTGAACTTCCTCAAAACTTAGAATTCCTTCCAAAACTAAAAGATTGTAGAATAGAATCGTTCAAAAATGATGACCAACTGTTTAAGAGGAAGGTACAACGCTGAATAACAAATAACCTTGATTAAGAATTTTTGAAAAGATTTATTTGGTTGTTGAATTTAATCTTCTATATATTTAAGCTAGTATTGCATTCATGACTTGTTCATTATATTTTTAAAATCTTATCAATTTTAGAATTATTTTTTTACAAATTATTCGCATGATAAATGTTTATTTTACTTATTAGACTTTGGGGCCGTTCACTTATTGCGTTACGCAAAAAAACTACTTTTTCACCCCCCTCCCCCCTTGTTACAATATGTTACAACTCACAACCCCCCTCCCCCCCCCCCCCTCCCCCCTTGTTACGATATGTTACAACTCACAACCCCCCCCCCCCTGAACGTTCATAATTTATTTTATTTTGATAATTTTTTTAAAAAGACAGACGACAGTTAGAACGTTACATACTTCTTGACATCCCCCCCCCCCCCTATGTTACATTTTGTTGCAGTTTTTTAAACCCCCCTCCCCCCTAAAATGCGAACGTAATAAGTGAACAGCCCCATTATATTTTCAAGTCTTATTTTTTGAATTTTATGTTCTCCTTCATTCAATTCTACACAAACTTTTACTTCCTAGGAATCAAAATCACAGTCAGACAAAAACAGATTTAACAGAAATTTTATAATTTAACATTTCAAAAAATGAGCTTTAGACACATTTTTCCTCTGTTTAAGGTTTGAAGAAGCATCAAGGGGGAAGAATAATTAATTTAGAAGAAAAAAGTTCATTCTATTTATTACAATTTTATTTCGGTTATGATGGGAAAGAATCTCATAATCATTTTTGAAGCATCTACCCAAAAAAAAAAACAGACACAGCTCATTTCTATGACCCACTATTATCGCTATTGTATTATTTTTTCTTAAGTTTTTTTAATTTTGCTAATTTTAATGAAAACTAATGATTTATATATTTTTTTTTATGCTTCCTCTCTTTTTATGTACGTGTATTTCTTGTCTCGCGCTTGGTGTACTCATCATCAACATCATCATTTTTACACATACACACCTCATCATCCATATCTAATTTATTTAACCATTGTTGTTGTTATTATTGCTATTTTATAATTTTTTTTTTGATGTTGTTCTTGATGTTCTGTATGTGTATTAATTTCATAAATTCCATCTGCGATCATAATTATGAAAACAAAAACATTTTAGAAAATGAATTTGAATACTTTTCTGAAACGTTAGCTGCTGAATCAATGCCTCATTATCAGCCTCCTCAAGTTGATAAGCAAATTACGCCAACACATTCACCATATTCGTCAGTTGATGCCACAAATAATTACACAAATAATAACAGTCAGCAATATGTACCGTCATCAACTCCACCAATCACTGCTCTACCCCCACAGCAACAACAACAGCAACAACAAAATAATAATGTGATTAATAATAATCCAAAATATCAGCAACCGCCTCAAAATTACAATGCTAATAATGGAAATAGTGTTCAACAAATGCGAAATAATGTAATTCATGGTGCTACAGTTCCAGTTGGTATGTCATCGTCGACTACGACAACAAATCAGCAACAGCAAATGCAACAGCAGTTACAACAGAAATATTACGATCAGTATGAGAACCAAATGCGACCAAATAATGGAAATAATAATGGCAATCACAATGGAATGAGTCAAAGTACATATAATAATAATCCAGCACAAAAGGCATATGGACATCAACCGGCGAGTCAAATGACGAGCAGTTATAATCAACAAATGAATTATAATAATCAGTATAATAATCATCATCAAAATGGATCGGCTGGAGGAGTTGGTAAAATATCTGATTATGATCCCATGACTGATAGTCCTAGAAATGTCCCACAAACGACACGACCAAACCAAACATTAATTTACAGCTCTGATAGAGCTGCGAGTAAGTAGAAATAGAATTTCATTTATATCACTGACATATTCAGATTCAATTAACTCATTTAAACACTCCGTCTATCACTCCAATTGTTCCTATTTACTTTTTATTATTTGTAATATCTTTTTTTTGTCGTGCACAAAATTGCATTATTATCAAAACGATAGTCAAGCAAATAATATTCAATAATCATTGCTATTCGTATTCGTTATTCTCTCGCTTAATTGGCAATTGCAAAATTTAATTTAATTAAATAAGATGATGGATATATCTTCTCGAAACTGAATAATTTTGCATACATTTCTCATCTAATTTATTCCAATTAATTTTGATCATTTTTAGTGCAAGCTCATCAGCAGCAACAGCGAAGAATTGGTTCTGTAAATGACATTGATCCTCTTAATGGATATTATGGATCAATTGCCGAGCAACAACAATATATTCAACAACAGCAACAAATTCAGCAGCAGCAACAGATTCAACAACAACAGAGGCAATATGCTGAACAACAACGATTGGCCGCTCAACAACAGCAACAACTTTATCAGCAGCAGCAGCAACAACAACAACAACAACAACAACAACAGCAGCAACAGCAACAAACAAAATCGGTGAGCAAAGTGGTGAGTGTGCTGTTTTGTAGTCGTAGATGTAGAAATAAAATTAGTGCAGCATGATTTGTCGTGCAGTAGACCTTAAATAATTATTCATTTATGTGCGTTTTTCTTCGGAATTGCTTTTATTTACTTCCAATTTGTCTCATTGACTGATTTCTTATGTTATCTTAGCTGTTCACTTATTACGTAACGCGAAAAAAATGACTTTTTTGAACCCCCCCCCCCCCCCTCGTAACAAAATTTGTATGAAAAAAAAAATTCCTTGTTTGAACCGTAACAAAATCTTAGACCCCCCCCTCCCCCTAAAAGCGTTACGTAATAAGTGAATGGCCCCTTATTGATTATATTCTTATTTTAATGGGATTATTGTATTAGATGTGACCTCTGAGAAGTTCTAAGGGGCCATTTACTTATGACGTTCGACATTTAGGGGGGGGGGGGAGGGGGGGTCTAGGATTTTGTGACAGTTCAAACAATGGAAATTTTTTTCCATAGAATTTTTGTGACAGAGGGGGGAGGGGGTCTAAAAATCAGTTTTTTTATGGACGTCATAAGTGAACGACCCCTAATCTCAAACGAAGTTTTTTTTTTTTTTTTTTTTTTTTAAATTAAACTTTTTATTTATTTACATTTAAATTTAAGTATGTACAAAGTTTCTATACATTTTGTTGCTTTTTGTTTTAAGGTTTCAGGCATTCAATTTGCCTTTTGTCTCTTAATTTTGATTTTATTTACGGATTTTACTTTCTTTTGTATTTCATTTGATTTATTCGGTGTTTTGAGATGCAAGACGACTGTTGAAGTTCGCTTGCAACTTTCCGACGTAGTCTTCGATGGACGGTATTTTCGCTTCTGTATGAAGATCGGTGATCCTTTCATATCTTGTTTTATTGAGAACAATTCTCAAGAATTTGTTTTGCAGTACTTGAAGTTTTTGAAGATGGGTTTTTGCCATGCTTCCAAACGCTGGACAACCATATGTGAATATTGGTCTGATGGCTAGCTTGTAGATGAGAAGTTTGTTTCGTACGTCGAGTTGTGAGTTCCTGCTGATGAGCGGATAAAGCTGTCTTAATGCGGTGTGAGCCCTATTGGTCACATACTCCACATGCGGCTTTAATGTCACTCTCTTGTCGATCACCATTCCCAGATATTTAGCTTCTGTTTCCCATTTGATGTTTTCGTTGAGAAATTTGATGTTATTTCCTGGTAGTTGCCTGGAGTGCCTGTTTGTGATGAATAAGGCTTGAGTCTTCTGTTTGTTGAGGTTGATCTTCCATTTGTTCATGTATTGTTGAACTTTTCTTCCTGTGTGCTGTAGATGTGTCACAATATCGGCCGAGTTCTCTGCAGAATGATACAGTGCTGTATCATCTGCGAAAAGACCGATGTTGTTGGTTGTCTCTCTTACAACATCATACGTGAAGATGTTGTAGAGAGTTGGTGAAAGCACTGCTCCTTGTGGCACTCCGAATTTGATTACCTTGATTTCTGAGAACTGACCTTTAATAAAAACTGCAAATGATCTTTCACTGAGGAAAGATCTTACAGTTTTTATAAGTGGCAGTGGAAATCTCAGTTTGAGCATTTTGTACAAGAGTCCGTTATGCCAGACTCTGTCAAATGCTTTTTCTACATCCAGGAAGATCATGCCTGTTGACTTTTTGTTGTTTAAGTTTTCTTTTGCTGATTTGATCACTTTGATGAGCTGGTGAGATGTTGATCTTCCAGTCCGGAAGCCGCACTGCTGGTTTGGGATGATGTTGTTATCCTCAAGATGATCGTTGATTCTATTCAGTAATACTCTCTCCAGTATTTTGCTTATTGAGCTGAGTAGACTTATTGGCCTGTAGCTGCTTAGCTCATTTGCTGGTTTTCCAGGTTTTGGAATAGGAATCACTTTTGCATGTTTCCAAACTTTGGGGAAGTGGTTGAGTTTCAGACACGAATTGATGATGAATTTCAAGTATTCGAAACCTTTTTCAGGAAGATTTTTGATGAGTATGTTGTTGACTTCATCTAGTCCCGGAGCTTTTGGATTTTTCAGATTTCTTATGATGCTCACGATTTCGTTTACATCTGTTAGTTCTGGATTCTCATCATTGTCTTGTTCCAATGCTTCTTTGACTGTGTTGTTTACTTCCTGTGTATGTTGTGGATCGTTTTGTTCCAGAGGATTTTCGTGAGCTTCACGAAAATACTCGCTGAGTGCGCTGGCTTTTTCTTTGTTGGTGATGAACGTTTTACCCAGATTTGTCAATGGAGGCATTGTTTTTGAACCTTTTTTGCAAAATTTTGCTATTCTCCAAACTGTTTGGTTTGACGGTTGAATCTCTGAGAGACGCTTATTCCAGTTTTTGTTTTTGAGTTCTTTAATTTTCTCATTGATGACTCTCTGCAGATAATTCAATTCAGATTTGAGTTGATTATCTCTGCTTCTCTGCCATCTTCGACGAAGACTCCTTTTTGTGTTGATTAGATCTTTAATCTCCGGTGTGAGTTTAGTTGATTCGAACTTGATCTTTTTCATTTTTACACTTGAGTTCCTCGCTTCCATGATGAGTTCAGAGAGAATCTTAATGTGATTCTCGATCTCATCTGTTGTATTGCAAGAATTTTCTCCAATGTTGTCTTCAATGCGGCGTGAAATTTGTGCTTTGAACTTTTTCCAGTTTGCGTTTTTGTAGTCATATCTGTAGACTGTATTTTCAGTTCTGTCGATTTTTGATGTTTTGATTTGGAAATACACAGCGCAGTGATCACTCATTGCCTCTGTGCATTGAAGTTCTGTTGTTTCGAGGTTGGAATTCGAGAGCATCAGGTCAATTGTTGACACTGATTTGTTTCGATCTTCTGGGTAGTACGTTGGCGAGTCAGGAAAGTAGATCATGAACTCTCCTGACATTTCCTGAAGAATATTTCCTGATTTATTTGCAACGTTGCAGTTCCATTCTCGATGTTTTGCATTGAAGTCTCCACAGATGTAGTAATTTCCTCTCAGATTTGTTATTTTGTTGATGTCATCTCTCAGATGTAGATCTATTTCCCCTCCTTTGCTTCCTCCTGGGAGATAGACTGAGAGGATGTGACAACTATCCGTGTCATTGATGAAGACTTTGATTCCAATGCATTCCATTAGTTTTGTGTTGTAGCTTGGTTGAAGCTGATGTTTTAGATTTCTTTTGACGACGATTGCAACACCACCCTTTGGTCTATCCACGCGATCCAATCGATGAATTACGTAGTCTGGATGCGAGTCAATTTTTGAGTTTGGTTTTAGGAATGTTTCTGAGATGCAAGCAACATCGACGTTTTGCTTGCTTAGGTAGTCGAGAAATGCTAACATTTTGTCAGTGAGGCCGTTAGCATTCCAGTAGAGGACGTTGATACTTTGTTGTCTACAATCCATTATTGTATGCGGTGTTTTTGGCACTTGAGCCGATTGCTTGGAGTATTTCGTCGATGAACTCTGGATTTTTGGCGATTAATTTGAGAAGCTCGCTGATAAGGTACTTGCACTTTGATTCCTCTATTTCTGAGATGTTTTTATCTCTTGTGCTGGTGCTTTGAGCTTGTTGATTAGTTGTTATGTTTCGATTCACTACCTCAACACTGAATGAAGGTTCTGGGAAGACTTCATTCGAGGTCTGACTTGTTGCACTGATGTCTTCTGAGTCCATAAGCTCAACGTCTTGCTTTGGTTTTTGATGTTGCTTGTTATTAATGTGCTCGTTTTGCTTTTTTCTTTGATTCTTTTTCCAATGTTTTCCTCTTTCTTTATTGTTTTGTTGGTTGTTCAAGTTATTTTTATTTCCCTGATTTGAGGGTTTGTGATTTGGAGGAGGATTTGTGTTCCTTGGTTTGTGGTTGACTGGAACTTGTTTTTGATGAACAGGCTTTTGTGTACCAGATGTTGATGGTTCCATATACTCCTTTCTCCATTGAGGTTTTGGTGCATGTTGGACGTTTCTGGTTGATCTCTCAGGACGATGCGGTGTTGGAGGATTGTTTCTCCGTTGTCCATATGAATAATGGCCTGCTGTTTTGTTTTGATTTTGGTTGTTTCCATTCTGTGATTTTGATTTCCATTTTTCAATTATTTCTTGTCTGGTTTTACAACCTGTGAAAATTGCTGTATGTTTTTCACCGCAGAAGAAACATTTGAGTTTTCCGAGTGGAACCTTGTTGGTCTCTTTCGATATGTACTGGCACGTTTTCGAGTCATGTTGCTCAGAGCATCTGAAGCAAACGGACGGTTTGTTACAACCGTTTTGTCCATGACCAAACTGCAGACATTTCGAACATTGAGATGGTCCAGCTTGTCTATTTTTGTAGTCAGCCCATTTAATTTTGAAACTGCTGACAATTTTGATTTTTCTGAGGAATTCCAGGAAATTTCCACCTTGTTCTACATCTTTTTTGAAGTATACGAGGTAGTTCTGGTCGTCGTCTTGTTCGTGTCTTTTGTGTTTCATTGTCATTTTGACAATTTTTACTGGTGTGATTTTTACGGTTTGAAGTTCCTTCTCCAACTCACTGATTTCCATATCTGGGAGTCCATAGAGTACGTACTTCTTCAGTGGTTCTTGGCTGGAGTATGTGTGGAAGTGATGCTTTTTGTCTTTGAGTAGTTGGATGAATTTCTCGTAGTAATCCCAACTCTCCGTTGTTACCGTTTTTGTTCCTTGTTTGCCCTTTTTGGTCTCAATTAAGAAACTTCCAGGTTGATTGTTTATTTCATTCGTCAATCTCTTGATTTCACCAGCTCCTCCTGTGCTGATGACAATTGGAGGTGGTTTTGATTTTTGTTGAGATTTGTTGTTGTTGCTTTCCGTGCTCAAACGAAGTATTTTGGCAAGTTTTGAGTTTCTTCTCGCCAAAATCTTCCATTCCATGAAAAAAGTCATAAATCTAATTGATCCTGAATCATAATTCAAAAAATAAAATCTCGTTAAAATTCCAGCCATCATAATAATCCAGTTTTATCAGTCAATAAAGCCCCAAGGTCGAAAAATGCACATTAGAAACCATTTGCATGCTAGAACTGCATTTACTTGTTTTACTTTTTACCTCGTTGCATGACATTTTATTTAAATTTTGTGTTATAAATGCTCACTCTTATCATGCATTACAAATCTAATTTCAGAGAGTGTATCGAGCACTTTATGACTATGAAGCTCAAGATTCCGATGAAGTAAGTTTTTCCGAAGGCGATTTAATATTCGAAGTTAATTCAATTGACGCTGGCTGGATGACAGGACGAGTTGAGCGTACGGGAAAAATTGGAATGCTACCGGCTAATTACATCGAGCAAGTTATGATATAAGAAGCTCCATCCTACGATTTACTTTAATAATTTTATTTTTGTCAATTTAAACTAACAACCTTTCAGACCCGATGTATGAAGAAATTAAGGATGTAGAACTTTATTTATAAACTAATAACCCCCTTAAAAATGCTTTATAAATTTTTTGTATAATATTAATTGAAGAAAAAAAAAAGGTTAAATCTAGTGAAGTTTGTTATAGAAATTAAACGTGCAACATAAATGAAATTTTTTGTGAGGACAATTTGAGAAACTTTTTTGCTCAAATCAAACTCCACAATTCTATATTCCATCAGTTTAGTGTCTTTCTTTCACAAAAAAACAAAAACAAGAGTCGACCTGCATTATATTTTCTTATTGAAAAGTGCACTTACAATTAATAAACGATTATATAACATCTAATTAATTAATATGCATTTGTTGCGAGCATAAAATCTATAATTACCATTTAATAACTAAAGACTATTATGAGAATGTGCTAAATAAATTTTAATCGGATTTTCTTTTTCTTTTGAATATTTTTTCACTTTGGAAAGTCAATTTTAAGCTTTTAAAAGATTTATTCTAAAGTTTCATTATATTCTACTTAAAGCATGACTGCATACTACATATGGAAGAGCAATTAACGGAGAGTAAAATTTTTATCAATTATTCGGAGTTGTTACTTGAAAATAAACCCCTAAATTAATTAATGTTTCTCGAACATACACGTTATAATTAATGTAAATCCATCACGTTATCCAAAAGGTGTCATTTTGTGTATTCATGTCACAAAATAATAATTGATAATAAAAGTAATTTTAATGAGAATAATCAAAGTAGCAATTAACTGTGAAGAAAGTAGCAACTCTGCCAAGATTTAAAAAAAAAATCAAATTTTGTGATTGAAAACCATACAAATGTTTGATGTTTCTTAAAGGAATTGTAGGGTTTTGATATTCTTCAATATTAACAAGATCATTATTATTATAAAACCTTCCAAATGTGTAGAGTTTTTAAAGGAATTGTAGGGTTTTTGATTCAATCTTTAATCGTTGAAAATTTTATAAATTTTTAAATATTCAAGAAATTTCAAGATTTTGAGACTCTAAATTTGTATTAGAAAATTGAAAACCTTACAAATGTTTTAAAATTTAAATAATTTGTAAGTTTCAATTTTAAAATAAATGATTGAAATATAAAACCTTACAATTCCATTGGAAACATTTGCATGGTTTTTAAAAATTCAAAAATGTAGCTGTTACAAAATCTCAATTCAACCGATTAATTTTAACAAAATCAACATCAACCTCTGGCTTTGAGTTATCTAAGAATATAAAATAAAAAGTTATAATCGTGTAAAATGAGCATTAGCCCTTGAAAGTCCCTCATATTGTATAATACACGATTTTTTTACGACATGATAATAGAGACTTTAATAGAAAATTTTATTCTAAATTTCTTGTAAACTTCCACGCTTTTGGCATTTTTCTTATTAACTCTTATCTATCTGCTCTGCATGAGAAATCTTTTTCTAGTTATATCGCTAAATTAATCGATCAAAAAGAAATTATATTTTTCCATTGAGAATTTTGATGATACAAAAAAAATTATTCTAAAATAAATAAAAAATAAAATTTGAAGTGGTGATAAGTGCGAAATTAAAATAAAATAATGTCAATTAGAAAATTAAACAAAAAAAAATTTAAATTTAAACCGAAAGAAAAATGGCAAGCTATTTTATTCACATGTAAATATAGTAGAATTTATTGCATTTTTTAATCGTAAATGGCAATTTTTTTTATTTTTATGATTCTTTATTTTCATCTCCTTCCTAATTAATTAACGAATTCCTTCCATTTGAAATAGAAAATGAATCACGTAAGGGATTGGTTCACAGTATTAACTTCCAATAAGAATTGGAATTTTTAGACCCTTTTCTTCTGTTAAAAAAATTTGAAATCAAGAATTCACTTTTTCATTAATTTACTTATAAAATAAGTTTTGTTTCTTAAGCTGAGCGTCAAAATTTACAACTTAGTCTAAAGCTGAGCGTCAAAATTAGACAACTTTGTCTAAAGCTGAGCTTTAAAATTTAACAACTTATTCTGAGGCTGAGCGTCAAAATTTGCAACTTAGTCTAAAGCTTAGCGTCAAAATTAGACAACTTAGTCTAAAGCTGAGCTTAAAAATTTAATAACTTAGTCTGAGGCTGAGCGTCAAAATTTGACAACTTAGTCTAAAGCTGCGCTTCAAAATTTAATAACTTAGTCTGAGATTGAGCGTCAAAATTTACAACTTAGTCTAAAGCTAAGCGTCAAAATTTGCAACTTAGTCTAAAGCTTAGCGTCAAAATTTGACAACTTAGTCTAAAGCTGAGCTTCAAAATTTAATATTTTAGTCTGAGGCTGAGCGTCAAAATTTGCAACTTAGTCTAAAGCTGAGCGTCAAAATTAGACAACTTTGTCTAAAGCTGAGCTTCAAAATTTAACAATTTATTCTGAGGCTGAGCGTCAAAATTTGCAACTTAGTCAAAAGCTTAGCGTCAAAATTTGACAACTGAGTCTAAAGCTGAGCTTCAAAATTTAATAACTTAGTCTGAGGCTGAGCGTCAAAATTTGCAACTTAGTCTAAAGCTTAGCGTCAAAATTAAAAACTTAGTCTAAGGCTGAGCATCAAAATTGACATCTTAGGCCAATAAAGTGACACTTTTAAAAAATATGAATTTTTGGTATCCAAATTTTGTGATAAGAAGGGAGGGGCGTCAAAAAATCCAATTCTTGCTGAACATAATCACTAGTAACCCCCCTTAAAAAAGATAATAAATATATATTAATAAAATAGTAGACGTTAAAGCTCATTGCAAAGTATTAATGATACACAAATTTATGTTTGAAAGTGAGAGAGAAAGAGAGCGAGAAAGGGAATAATTGTAAATTAATTAATATTAAAATAATTTTTTATATACATATGTCGTCATACTTTATCAAATTCGAAACGTAACGTCGATTTTAGCGAAAAATTAATTGGAGAAAAGAAAAATGTGAAAAAAAATTTTTAATGTTTTTTGCTATAAATTCGAAAACATTGAGAGAATAAATTCATTCGTATAAATAAATAATTGTTGAACAAAATAAGTCTCACTGCATTTTTAATCCTTACTTTCAGCATCATCGATCGTACCAAAAGTTGTATCAGCATAGCTTGATGTCACATCTTTCGTCTCATTAAAGATTTCTTTAAAGCACTCCTTTGACTTGCCCATAATATCAATAAATTTCTTACAATCTTCTTCCCGATCAGCCGTTTGTGATTGAAGCTTCTTCTCTAGATAGTCTATACGCTCTGTCGCATATTCGAGTCTGGAAATTATTTCACTGAAGATGTTATTAACATAATTGAATTTAAATTTGAAGGGTTTTTAAGGAAAGAAGCCATTCACAAAATTACATAATAGATCTACAACCTCTCCCTCCCCCTCACACCTCCCCACATTAAATGGGCTATGGCTAAAGCTTAACTGTGAATAGAGCAAGGTACAACAACAAACCAAGTTCAACATACTTAAATTTTAGTCGATCTATTTCAGACGTAAGCCGTTCACTTGATTTTGTCACTGGACGATTATTATTAACATTCATTCCACTCAATGACCGCGAATATTCATTAATTCTTATTCCACGACGATGCTTCGTCTTGATTGCTTCTTTCTCATTCTCCAGTTCCTTCAATTTAGCATCTAAACGTGCAATTTTGACTCGCTGCTTTGCAATCATGTCATGCTGATCACTTTCCAAAAGCGATTGCTTGTTGAGCTGTTTATTCTGCTCTTCAATAATATTCAATAAACGATTTTTCTCTTGTTCCAGTGTGCTGATCAAATTAACGTAATCACTTTTACTCATGTTGCGGCATGAGAAGAGAAAATCACCGGAAATATTTCTGAGATTATTTTCGAGATCTTCATTAAGGCTTTTGAGACTTGAAATGTCACGGTCTTTATCTGATAAGAGCTGTGATGCATTTTCTAAATCACATGTGAGCTTTTCTACTTCCAATTTTGAATCATCACACATTTCTCTCATTTTTGTCATTTCCTTTTCCATTTCAGTGATTTTATGCTCGCATTCGTACTTGACCATTGATATTCTCTCATTCAGACATTTGATATAATCATCATCATTCCTGGACTTTTCCATTAAATCCAATGTTTTGAATTTGTAGTTATTTGCTTCTTCTGAAAGATTCTTGTTTCGGATCTTTAATGCTGAAACTTTATACTTCAAATCATCAAGTTCATTCTTGCAGTCATCAAGCTCTTTTGTTAATGAGTCAATTTCGTGTTTTCTGACACTTTCCATGCGTCTAAGTGGTAGTGAATTGGCATCAAAGGAATCAGTCTCAGTATTTTCTAGTTTGTCTCTTAGTTCAGCAATTTTGGATTGCAGCATTTGAATCTGTTGAGCACGTCCACGCCAATTAGAAGTTGAATTTAAAATTTGTGAGAAATTAACGGAATCAGTTCCGATTTCATGCTGGAGACATTTGTGGGCAATTTTAAGTTCATTTTTCAGTTGGAGATTGAAATTTGATGCCTCAAAAAGCTTCTTCTTGGTTCTTTCTAAATTTTCCGTTAACATTTGAACTTCTGACAGCTGTACTGGTTCGGGATCTTTCGAGCGCTCATACTGTTCTAAAAGCATGTCTTTATTGCTGAGTTGTTCCTCTAATTTTTGATTCTTATCCTCAAGATCACGATACTTTGACTTAACACTGATCAATTGAGAACTCAAATGACGATTTGTTTTGCTTAAGTCAGCAATCTTTTGGGACGAAACTGGTGAGCATTCAGCGGCTAACGATGTCAAAGCTTGATCAAGTGCATTACTCTTTTCTTCGAGTTCTGACAACTCTTGTTCCTTTTTATGGAGTTTTTCTTGGAGTCTTACGTTTCGATGTGTCAATTTCTGGAAGATTTTTATTTAATTGATGCTAATTACTAATCATTTAACAAGATAGTCCAAGCAGGATTCAGCAAACGGTTTTTTAAAACTTGAAATTTAACGTATTTTAAAAGTTTGAAATTAAAATAAGTTCAAAATCTGTGAAACCGATAATATTCAAACTTTGATAACCGTTACCCTATTTTTACGTTAGAAGCCACAACTCGTTACTAAGCCAGTAGCTTGATAAAAAAAAATTGGAAAGTTTAAAATTAAAATAAGTTCAAAACCTTCAAAATCTGTGAAACCGATAATATTCAAACTTTGAAAACCGTTACCCTATTTTTACGTTAGAAGCCACAACTCGTTACTAAGCCAGTAGCTTGATAAAAAAAATTGGAAAGTTTAAAATTAAAATAAGTTCAAAACCTTCAAAATCTGTGAAACCGATAATATTCAAACTCTGAAAACCGTTACCCTATTTTTACGTTAGAAGCCACAACTCGGTACTAAGCCAGTAGCTTGATAAAAAAAATTGGAAAGTTTAAAATTAAAATAAGTTCAAAACCTTCAAAATCTGTGAAACCGATAATATTCAAACTCTGAAAACCGTTACTCTATTTTTACGTTAGAAGCCACAACTCGTTACTAAGCTACTAGCTTAGTAAAGTTTTTTTGAACTTGAAAAATTTTTGAAATCTTTACTGTAAATTGTAAATTGAACTTCAATGAAAATTTTGAATTTTTTAACATAATTAAAGAAATTTTGCTATCTTCTCGATTTTATTTTATTGACAATGTCATAAGGCATTGAATTGTAAAACATTAATTAAGCTTTATTTTTGAGCGTAGCTTATCAAAGATTACAAAAAATTTTCAAGTTCAAAAAAACTTTACTAAGCTAGTAGCTTAGTAACGAGTAGTAGCTTATAACGAAAAAACAGGGTAAGCTTTTTTCACGATTTTGAAAACTTTTTTCACCCCATAAGCAAGTTTGCTAGTAACGTAAAAATAGGGTAACATTCGTAGTTTTGGAAACTGTTAAAATTGAAAATTTTCAAATACGTTAATTTTTAAATTTCTTAAAATCGTCAATTACCTCAACTTTCGAAGACAATTTGGTCTGAACATCATAAGTGCTTGATTTCGACGACTGTTTTGAATGAATAGAAATGAGAGAAGGATCTTCTGGATGTGGCAGGTACGATATTTGTGACATTTTTCAAATAAATATATAAACAGACGGTACAAAAAACTTTTCTGAAAATTAATAAACGTTTTTTTTCACGATCCAAAGCTAGATTTGATATTTATATTTTATAATGAGCTTAAAGATTATTAAAATTTATTTTTCACAATAATATATCATGTAATTTAAAAATGTATAGACAGATAGATGCTATATAAAACAAATAAATTGGAAATGATATTCGGATAGATTTTTACTTAAGAAGACTCCACTTCAGTTGCTCTTTTGCACTTTGGAATACCTGAAAATTAGACATTTGTGTTTTATGAGTGAATGTGATAGGTTTTTATAAATAAAATTCAGTCATTAATGGATATAAATCTCATCTTAATTCAATTTCATTCTTAACACAGTTTTTAGCTATTTTGTGTGATGTTAACATAATTTATGCATTAAATGCAAATGAGTGGATGATTACAATCAAAATTTTGGTGCTAATTAAAGTGATATTGCTCTGATATGTCAAATTTCTTACTATACAAATAATTATTATCACTGATTCTTTTTTATGGCAGGCTTTATGTTCTTTAATGAACTTAGAATTAATAGAAACTTAGTTGCTTAATAATGTCACAATTTTTTTTTTTGTCATTAATGATGAGTACTCAAATTAGCTACCAAAATAACCCGTGCAATGCGTTCGTTACCTGTGCTACTGTCTGCTCTCCAAGTGGTAATTCATCGTTCCTTAAATCAACTCTCTTTTGTACGCTCGCTGGATCAGCGTCAAGAATAATCCTAAAGTAACGATTTTATTAGTCTTTGGATAAAGTTAAAGAACGTAACGGAAGTTCAAAATTCAAAAATCGAGTTCAAGAACATAAACAAAATTTGAAAATTTAGAAATCGTTATTAGTTGAATCCAAAAGTCTTACCCGCCATCACAAATTTCATCAAAAGCTAGCATAACAACATCCAAATTATCCAGTAAAGCTCGTTTCTCAACATTTTTCTTCAAAATCAAGCTAATAGTGTCAAAAAGACAATTTAATACTGACAACAAGATGAGTTCATTCTCGTTCTTTCCTCCCATCACATAGAAAAATAGATCTACATTACTCTTGTACACTACTGTAAGTCCATCCAACATGATAATTTCTGATGCATTTGCACGATGAGTTTTCTGGAAGAGATTTTTTTCGTACGTCTTCTGTTCCTTTACTGTTGGAAATACATTTTTGTCATAGTATTTGGCTAGGATACGATTTCCATCATTATCCATGATGACCATAGCTTTAATTGTGTATAATGTTGGTTCCTAAAATTATGAAATTCTTGTAAGCCACATCATCATACTAATATCTCGTTAAATAGACTGAAATTAAGCTCCTTTTCACTTTGTTTTGATAGGTTGTGAAGTAATTGATTAAATTGATGAAGAAAGACTTACCAACAAATCCATTTTGCTAGATTAATATAATAAAATTTGTAGCTATACAAAATTTCCGGAAAGTTTTCTTCTGAATACAGTGCTTACGATCCAGTAGCTTCTAAACCTTTTATTGCCGATAATGTTTGTTGTGATTATCTTATATTCTTGATTCTTAATGTGTTTAGAGCGAAGAACTATTGAAATGTAGAGTAATTAAAGAAGTCGAATTTATTTAAAATTCAACGGATTTTGTAAATTTGAATTAAGTTCATTATCGCTTCTTTTGACGCAAAATTTTCATAAATTTCAAAAAATAATTGACTGTTGGATGCAAAACAATACTTTTCTTTAAAAAAAACTACCACGTGACTAAAAGTCAACTCTAAAACCGCATACACAGACTGAATATCAACAAAAGGTACCACATTATAAAGTTTATTCACCACTGACTGTATGGATACAAACAAAAATGACGTTGAATACGATGTCAGTGTATAAATGACGTTTTTAAAAAAGGAATATCTCAAATTAAAGCATAAAATTTAAAATAATACCATTTTAAAATAATTCATCACTAAGGTCCTCAAACATAACGATAATAAATTAGCAACATATTTTTAAGAATCTATAAAAATGCTCAAAAGTTGATGAAATTGCGAGGAAATTGATTAATGAAAAAATTAAATAAAAATTCAAGGCAAAGATGTCGAGTAGTGATTTAGATCAAAAACCCTTTATTTTGCCATCGGAAATGCACCAGAAAATACTAGCAGAAAGTAAGTTTGATTATAAATTATTTAATAATTCAATGTTTGTTTTCATTTCATCTGTGTGACATTCTTTTGATTTTGACATGACATTTTTATGACATCCTTCAAATTTTATCTATACCTTCAATAACTACATCCAAAAGCAGTTCCGACAAAAGTTATTTTTTAACATTTATTTTCACGACTGCCTTTCCATCCATAAAGCTATACTTTCAATCAAAATGATTGACAGGAAAAAAATGGCTGACTACAAAGAACCTGATTGACTATAATTCATTGCATTTTTAGATGATAGACAGTATGAGGATGAATTAGAAGTGATGAGTGAAGAAGTGGTCAGTGTGGAACTAAACGATTCATATCGAAAACGTAGAGGAATCCTTCCAAAACGAGCTGTAAATGTCTTAAAGAATTGGTTATATACTCACAGGTTAAATGCTTATCCGACTGAAGATGAGAAATTTATGCTCTGCCGAGAAACTGGACTGACGAATTTGCAAGTCTGCAATTGGTTTATTAATGCACGACGGCGGATCCTGCCTGAAATGATACGAAAAGGTAACAATTATTGATAAATTTTATTTATGCTTTATGCTGGATTTATGCTCTTGTTGTAGATGGACATGATCCAAATAAATACAGGATATCGAGAAAAGGGAAGCATTTGTCAGACGACACTTTCCCACCGCACATGCTGTCACCGACAATGAAGCAAAATTTAAAAATGATGAAATTTGAAGATTCGGTAAATTAACATAATTTTTTTAAATCACTACACACTGGTCAAATTTTTAAATAAATGGGAAATGAGGTGTTTTTGGAAAAGTTTGACTATAAGTCTTCGGGGATGTCTCATTTTAAAGCTGACATTGATACACGATGATTTTCTAAGTTTCAAGTTTTTTGGTCCATCTGGTGCTGAGGAGCAGGTCCTCAAAGTTGGGTATAGGCGAATCTTCTGTTTTTTGAGATTGTTTATTTAAACTCAATTTGCACGGAAACTATTCAACCAAGTGAAAAATGGTTTTTGGTTCCTAAAAGCACATATCTATATTATCTATATTATTATTTATTATTTTTATTTATTTTATTTATGTATGCTTTTTTTCCCCTTCCTTCCGCTCAAAAATCATAGGAATGACAAGAAATTTCATTTTTTGACTGTTTTTCCTAAGTAAAGCTAGGGTCGCGACCCTAGACTAGACTTTAGTGTAAAGTGTTGCATATCATTAGAAAGGTAATTTATTAAGCTACAATAAACCGAAAACTAATTTAAACTAGTGTATCGGTTAGAAACCCAATGCGGATATATTCACACCGTACAATCAAAAGTCTTATGGATATAAGTTTGAAGGGTGGTCGTGAAGTACGACCGAGACCCATATCGACACAGTTCAAAAAATAAACCTAATTTATGTCATAATTATATCAGCTACAAAAACACTTAGTTTGAATTTTGTCACCCTCGGAAACACTATGAACCAGTATAGCTGATTTTGGTCCAAATCTCGGCCATACTTCACACTTATTTGAACCACATTTTATTGTAAATGTTAAAATATTATTAAAAAGTAATTAATTTTAAATTATGTCGCTATTTTGTCAAGTGTTTTGAGCAAAGAACCAAGTAGGAAATACATTTTTAATTATGAACTTGGGACAGGTCTAGTCAAAATCTAGTTTCCTACTTGGTTCTTTGCTCAAAAAAATTTTAGAATGTTTTATTTGTATTTGTTTTAAGCACTAGAATATTTATGCAAAGTTTCAATCCATTTGGATAAATCCTCGAAGAAAAAAGTGACAAAATTGATTTTGACTAGGGTCGCCCCTAGTCCAAAATTGAAATTGTATTTCCTACTTGGTTCTTTGCTCAAAAAAATTATTGGATGTTTTATTTGTATTTGTTTTAAGCACTAGAATATTTATGCAAAGTTTCAATCCATTTGGATAAATCCTCGAAGAAAAAAGTGACAAAATTGATTTTGACTAGGGTCGCCCCTAGTCCAAAATTGAAAATGTATTTCCTACTTGGTTCTTTGCTCAAAAAAATTTTTTTCATCCAAAGTTTAATTTAAAATAAAAAACACAGTGAACTTTTAATTTGAAAAATTCGTAAGAAAGGAAAGTTTTTTGCTTTTTCTGAAGCAACGGCTGTTCCTACCTTGCCTAAAAACAATACAGCTCTTCTATTGAGCAGCACGGATCAAATGTAAAAAACCAGAAGTCTCTACAATGTCTCGTTATTGAGATTTCTTGCTGATTAACTTGCTTGTTTGCTTGTTTGCTTGCTTACAGAAAGCATATTTTGCGATTTTCTCAGCAATGCCGCAACCAATTTAAAATCTGTTTTTTTTTTTTGCAAAAGATGTGAAATTCAAGGCACAAACTTTTCATCTCTGAACATTTTAAGCTATCTTATGTTTTTGTTCGAGATATTCAACTGATTTATTGTTTTTCTCGAATTACTGAGATCATTATTTTACACTCCATATTCTCACAAAATTCAAAAAACTGATTTTTCAATCTGAACAAAACCAATAGATTCACACGTGAAAACGGTGTGATTATAAAAATATTTGTTATTTAAAAAGTTAAAGCAGTTTGAGTGAAGGGAGAAAGGGTCAAGTCGATAACCATCATAGGGTACCCAAAATAACATTTTTTTGAATCAATCATAAATAGCCGAACAATCAAGTTTTAAACCAAAAACTTCAAGCTTGATCAGGCTTGATCTTAATTCAGATAGTTTGCTGCAGTCACGAACTTTTGTAGAGTGATTTACCCCTATTTTTTCATACTAAATCTGTCATTCCTCCATCTGGTAGATATTTTTCAAAAGGTATGATATATTAAAATATTGGTCCTATTATGTGCTTTTAGGAATCAAAAACCATTTTTCACTTGGTTGAGTAGTTTCCGTGCAAATTTAGTTTAAATAAACAATCTCAAAAAACAGAAAATTCGCCTATACCCAACTTTGAGGACCTGTTACTCAGCACCAGATGGACCAAAAAACTTGAAACTTGGGAAATCATCGTGTATCAATGTCAGCTTGGATCACTAGTAGCTTAGTAACGAGTAGTAGCTTATAACGAAAAAACAGCGTAAGTCCAGATACAAATTGCACCTGGACTTTAAAACCTCACGTGCAGTTCATAAGTCCAGGTACAAATACAGCTGGAATTATAAACTGCACGAGAGGTTTTTAAGTCCAGGTACATTTTATATCTGAACTTATAAACCTTACGTGTGGTTTATAATTCCAGAAAATTTATAAATTTTACTTATAATCTCGCAGTTCGATTATAAGTCCAGATATATTTTTCTGGACTTATAATCCTTGAAAATTATTTGAAATTATTTCAAACTTTTATATTCACACCGTTTTGTTCAGATTGAAAAATCAATTTTTCACATATTGTGAGAAAACAAAGCAAAAAAAGTTTGTGCCTTTAAAAAAATCAATTTCTTAGCTTCGCTCAGCATAAGTTTGAATGTATAAAGCTAGTGAGTCAAAAATTTGTGTTAAAAAAACATTTTTTTAAATTTTCCACCTTTTTATCAAAACAAAATAAATTATGAACGTTGGGGGGAGGGGGGGGGGGGGGGGGTTGTGAGTTGTAACATATTGTAACAAGGGGGGAGGGGGGGGGGGGTGAAAAAACGTTTTAAAAACGTTTTTTTTCGTAACGTAATAAGTGAACGGCCCTTATCTGGACTTATCGCACTGGGAGATTATAAGTAAAATTTAAATTTTCTGGAATTATCCTGGACTTAAAAACCTCTCGTGCAGTTTATAATTCCAGCTGTATTTGTACCTGTACTTATGAATCGCACGTGAGGTTTTTAAGTCCAGGTGCAATTTGTATCTGGACTTATAAACCTTTAGTCACTTTGATTTTCTGGACTTATAATCTCTGGACTTATAACCCAGCATCCAAAAAATAATCAAATATTCAGTGGACGTTATAAAATTTGAATTTTAGAAAATCGTTGAATGACAAAACCCTTTTTAGTGAATAAATGTTGTGCTGTATTTTACTACTGAATCCATGTTAATTAACCAGTCAAATACTGATCGCTGAGTCAAAAATGCGCTGAAGTCCCTCGATAAAAACACGAGGACTTTTGTAATTTTTTAAAATTAGACCAGGGTGCACTTTAAAATTTGAAAATAGCAAAATCCTCATTCGAGTTTTATTATTCAAAGGGAACGGAGGTAGAAGACGACGAAATGGATAATAACGAGCACCAATCACCAGAAATTATTGACGTACAGTCAGGATCTCTTGCTTTTATGAAAAATAATGAAATGAAGATATCAAATGACGATTATGATGAGAGTAATTTAATTTATAGGTAAGAATTGATACTTTTGTGTGTTAAAAAACTATTTGACTAATATGATCCTGTGAAGTGCTTCTGCTGTTAACAAGCCCAAACGCAAATACAATAAAGTCAAGAATCAAGAAAATCAAATTGGCAATGAATCAAAGTCAAAGCGTAAATACAAGAAGCGCAAGGTTGATTCTAAAAGGTTACTGCTACATATTGTGTTTGAATTAGATTCTTATTTATTCAATTGCTGGATCAATTAGCATAATAACTCATTCCTTTTAATCCACAGATCGGACGATGAAATTGAGATTGAAGAACATAAATACGTGCCTATGTCCGAAGCATCAACGTCAAATGACTATTTTAACATTTCTCATCCGCGCTTTAATCAGCTCCAAAGTGAGTCTCGACGAAAATCCACACCGCCAATTAGAATTCAGCAAGTTCCAGTGCCAGTTGTTCCAACAATAAGTCAACAAGGAAATTCTCGCAATAGTGTTCGTGTACGAGGAGTCATACGTGATCCCAATAATTCTAAATGTCTTTATTTACTCATCGATTCATCGAATTCATAAAACATACAGCAACAAAAAAATTAAAATTCGGAGGATTTTTTTTTGTTTTTTTGAAAAGAAATTTTGTAGATTTTTATGTTTTTTTTTTGAGATTTTTATACACAACTTTTGTAAATTAACTTAACTCCTCCTTAGTACCGTGTACTGAGATCTAATGTATACAATTTAAATATAATATAATTATTATTTTCTCATAATAAAACTTGACTCTTTATTCTTCTTATTTTTGTTTTCAGTAAACACAAGTTCATTTAATTAACTTAAAAGTAAAGTGAAATTAAAGAAAAAATTTTAAATAATGTGCGAAAAAAAGTACAATAAGGAAATGTCTATTCTACAGAAAATCGTGTACAACGTACAGTGCGACGACAAAAATAAAATCATTAAAATTAAGTTAATTAAATATAAAATTAAATCGAACTTAAGTAGCTAGTCTTAATTAAATAATATTCTCAAGCGTTCCTTAATCGTTTTGTGGCATCTCGCGTGGGTAATTCAACGCATCGCTTAACTGATGGTCCAGAAATACTATTTGAATTTTCACCATCATCTATCTGCATTGAAATGCTCTTAAACTCGTCACATAAATAGTTTCGCTTGTTCTCAAAATCTGTTGTTTGTTCTTGGAAATACATGCGTGGAATGTGCACTTGATCTAGCGTATATTCGCGCATATCCACGCTCTTTAGCTTCGATAGGATTATGTGTAGGGAAAGATCACAAAGTGTCCATAGCTTCTGCAAAAATAGCATTCGAAGAATAACGGTTGGTAAAAATTTGAATAATAACGATAAAAAATATTTGAAAAACAGTCAATTTTTTAAAGATTTAAATTAAATCTGGGGATTAATTTGTGATATTAAGAATCACATCACTTACTTCATTAACTTGATTATCTAGTTGTTGATAGGCGCTTTTAGAATTCTTCATTTTCTGGATCATATTCGTATATAAACTAAAGCAAAATGTCTCCTTATTCGTTATAAGTGGTTCAAGAATGAAATTGAGACATTTTTCAGCAATTTTAAGCTGCTCGACGTTGCTTCTCTCCTGTAGTATTGTACTATGAGCCAAAACTGTTATCGCGAATGGTAAAATATGATCAGGTAAAATGTTTGCTAATTGAGCTAACGCGCCTTCCACTGGAATTAGATAAATTATTAGATTTATTGCTATTTTTGGGATATTTTAAGCTGATCTTACTTCCACCGTTTGAGAAAGTCTTGACATATTCCCTTCGATGATTCACGTCAATCTCATAATTGTTCTTCATTTGTTCTCGTAGTCTACAGATAATAAACAGCATTAATTAAATTGATTAAATCTTAGATGTTTAATCTTACTTTCTATCACTTTCTCGTCCACAAATCACGTAAAATCCCATAAAATCAAGTGGTAAACATTTGTGGGGAATTCCTTTGTACAGTCCTTTATGAAGCTTCTTTACAAACAGCTCACGTACTTGAACTACTGGATCGTTCTGCAAGTTGATTAGAAAATTGTGTTAATTCTTAATCATTTTTAACGGTTTTTGAAGCTTTGAAAAACTCGGATCAAAATAGTTCAAATTTCATAGATTTCAAATTACAAAAATCTGTTAAGAAGCAACTCACCATTAAGGATGATAACGTTAGAAATTGTTCAGCATTGTATTCATCACCAACTCCCTTTTGTTCGCAAATTTTAAGCATAGCATTTCCAGCTGAGACTCTCAGCCATGCCTTTTCAGCTTCACTCAATTGTCCCTTGTCTAAAATGTCACCCGTTTTACTTATAAAAGCACACAACATTCGAAAAGTCTTTTGTGCAGCCACAACGTTATCTTTTAAGCCAACAAGCCAACGTGCAATTGCTTTCAGTCCTTCGACTCGACACCGAATTGCTTCAGGTAAGTCCTCTTCTTCACACCATTCTCCATCAGGCTTCTCATCATGGATGCTTTCTGGAATATCACCAATTAATAGATCCTTAACAATCTTTCTAGACACAATATTTTTGAGAGGAATATTGAAGCGTTCTGGTAGATTGTAAGCAATATGTCCAAAAGCTACAATTGCTGTCCTATAATGCTCACAATCAGCTTGAAGATTCTTATTTGTTTCATCGACAATCTCTTGAAATACAGCATCAATATGCTTCTTAATTCTTTTTCCATTAGAATCCTCGTCCTCCTTCTCAATCATTGTTGAATTAGAGTTGACAAAGAGACATCTAATCGCATGCTTTGCCTGTTTTGCCGTTCCATTTGTTGCAAAGTCTTTACAAATTGGCGCCAAATCTTCCATCACTTCCAAATGTGATTCAATTAACGGTTTAAATCGTCCGAGATGTGTTAATGCCTTAAAGACACTAGCTGATACAAAATCAAGCTCAAAACTACCCAAAAGACTCATCATTGATCTTAAAACAGACTCGTGAAGAAAATGTGCAGGAAATAGATAAATTAAGACGGTTAAAAGATTTAAACCTTTGGCGCTTGTGTCTTCTGGACGTAATTTAAGATTCTCAAGTAATACATTACTTGTCTTTCTCGCATCAATCTCTGGATCCTCATTCTCATCATCATCAATCTTCTGTAGTTTTGTTGCCAAATGTAACTGTCCCTCAATTAACTGGATCAATACCTCGATATTCTCTCGATCAATCATGACACTCGCAATTCGACTTAACATAATTTTTACAGTATTATAATAAATATTGGTCATGATTGGAGTTCCGAGTTTTTTAAGTATACTTGACATTGCCTCAGCACATGATTTATTATCGACATCGCGTCGTAACATTGTATCCATATCTTTAAGTATGGCTTTATCTTTTCTCAAATGTGCTGAAAACTTTATGATATATTCTTGAGATTTTAATGGATCTGGAAACATTTTAAGTAAGACATTCATCTTCTTTGTTATCTCCTTTTGTGTCTCTGGCGTCTCCTTAAGTTTGTGCAGCTTCACCCAGTCAAGGACATTCTTACGCATTTTCATTTGATTTTTTTGGAGCTCAATAAAAGCTTTTAATGCATGATCATCGATTGTTGCTAATAATTTATAGAGAGCCTTCATTTTATCATTAGCTGATAGTGTATAGGGGACAAGACTCGTGATTAATAGCCGTTCAATTAATAATTGATCTTCAAGGGTTGCATGATAATATCCATTTAGGATCTTAATTTGTATCCAATTAGCTGAATCTAATGGCGATATTGCCGGCAATTCACTTGCTAATGTTGATTTTAGATGCTCATTATAAATCAAGGCTAGTCCATTCATTGCAGCACGTCGTATTTTGAATTTTTTGTCTTGTGAGCGTTCCTTTAATATTGCCATTAAATCAGCAGCCTCTGCAATAATTTTATAATCGCGCTTCGCAGTTTCTACAATTGAATTAACTACTTCATATCTAACGCTTTCATCAGAATCATGTTGACGTCCGTTTAATACGTTTATGATTTCTGTACGCAATTCGGGATGATTTACAAGAAAATGCATTGTACTTTGTACACATTTAATGCGAATAGCAACAGCAATGTCAAGAAATCGTCCGAGGAAATGATTTAGTAGTGCCGTATGCTGTTTTCCCAATTTTGAATCTTTCTCGCTAAACATTCGCGCCAATAATGCAACAGCCTTTAATCGCTCACTTTCATTTGATGATTTTATTTTACATTCAAGTTGCGGTAACACGGAAACTAATAATGTTGATGCAATAACATTTAATTCATAAATTAGATCATAGATTCGTTTGGTACTTTGATAGATTTTATCTGGCTTATCAGTCATTAAAGCTTCGTTGAGGAAAGCTTGAATATACATCACAAGTGAATCTGTAGTCTTCATAATCAAGTCCTTGGCCAAATTATAAGCGTTTTTCTTTTGTGTCTTATTAGGCTCAACAATATTGATCATTATAATATCAAGTAATTCATTCGATATTGAATCAGACTCGGCGAGTAGTGGAACTAATATTTCCAACATAAATGATTTAACTTTGGCGCTATGTTCGTCATTTACGATTTTAAACATAAGACCAAATAGTGAGCAAAATATTTCTTGGCTTTCAACAAGCTCAAAGCACATGTTGAAACTCTTTACGTATGCTAGATTCTCGAGCAAGTAAAAGTATCTCTTAAATGCTGGATCTTTTGGATCTTTAAGACCATTTAATTGTCGAATTAGAAATTCAAAAATTTCCTAAAACCATAAAACAGTTTTCAATGGAAAATGGTTATAAATAGAAATAATTTGACTTACTTTAATCTGTTCCGGTTCCTTATATGGCGCTTCCGGTGCAAAAACTCTCAAAATATCAGCAATGCAACAGCCAACGAGAAGCTGAACATCTTTCGAGTCGTGATTTAGGAAAAAGTCTTTGACTAAATGTAATGCTAACGGTGTATACTTTGAGAAATTCTCATCATCTTGTCCCATAGCTTGCAATGTTAATGATAGCGCCTTTGTGCCAATAACAAAAATATTTTTTTATTGTTTTGAAACTTTGTTATTGTGCAAAATAATCACGAAAAATCAACTTACCTTGAGCCTTCTTACTAGCTCATCATCACGAAGATCCTCTGAACATGGTTTCAGCTGATTTGGATACAATATACTCTTTTCTGTGGTCATTTTTAGTGTATTTAATTAGAAAACTCTATAAACAAATTTGTTTGCCGCAGAATCTTCAATTTTTCCTTTCAATCGACACTTCTTCATGTGATCAATGATTATTCCTTAACTAGTAGTCCACAATAAAACGTTTAATACATTCTTTTGATTCACTTTTGCCTTAATTAATACAATTTTAGGTATTTTACTTTTTTTGCTTTGATTTTAAAATTTCAGGGGGATAATTTTACTTGAGTTTTACGAAAACATTACAAAAGTCCTCGTACTTTATCGAGTGGCTTTAGCGCATTTTTGATTTCATATGACGTACTGACGCTCAGTACGAACTAGCAATTTAAAGAAAAACTATTAGCAAAAAAAGCGTGTAATTAAGCATTGGCATGACCCTTAAAGATTTAAACTTATTAAATGTATTATTTTATTTTACAAATATTATATATGTATTAAATTCAAAACAAAATTGGAAGCGTCAACAGTGCTTAATTTTACTGAATTACAATTTTTCAAATTAATGTACCTATCCTTTATAAATGACTTTGTCAGTTTTAACTGTTTTTTGAGATTCAAATTTTAACTGTTTTAAGAAATTTGAAAAACTAAAGGTAGTTGAAAAATTTTACCAGGTTGCACTATATGATGTTTGGTTCAAAATTTGTTACCTACCCTTGAACGGACGATCAAAATGCATTATTAATACCGCTCTTAGCAAAAAAATTAAGAAAATGTGTATTGTTTGGATTTTTTCTCATTTTTCAATTCTCTACTAATAATTATCACCCCCCCCCCCACTTATACATCTTTACTGAACAAACCCCCAATCAAAGAAACAGAATGAAATGAAATCCTAAAAATCCATTCATCGAATATATAATGAATTCTGTATTTTAGCCATTGACATTCATTTTGATGTAAAAAAAGTCAGTATTAGTTGATAACTGTCACATGTTGACGATTACCAGTAAATAACGAATTTTTAAAATTTGATTTTTTCACGCAAAAAAAATGAGCAAGGCGTTAACACTCGAAAATTTTGTTGGTATTGTCCAGGCGCAGGAAATTAAAATGAAAGGTTTTGTCTTTATTTGGCTCATCTTTCACACGCCTGAAAGTAAAATTAAATTTTAAAAATATTAACAGTCAAGAGATATTTGAATAAATAACGATTAAAAAGTTTTTAAGTGTCCTATTTCTTACTGTTCCATACTTAACAATTTTTCTTCACAATATATTAAACTTAAAACTTAGCTATTTTAACAGCTATTTAATTTTCAAAATGAGTTCTCTTTGAAACATTAAAATTTTTTAAAACCGTTATTACCAATTCACCAAACAAAACTGAAACTCACCACAACACATGGCTTCTTGACTAGTCAATTTAAGATAACAACTAGTGTATCGGGTGGAAACCCAATGCGGATATATTCACACCGTACCATCAAAAGTCTTATGGATAGACCAGTTCAAAATTTATACCTAATTAATGTGATAATTATGTCAGCTGCAAAAACACTTAGTTTAAATTTTGTCACCCTCGGGAACACTATGAACCAGTATAGCTGATTTTGGTCCAAATCTCGGCCATACTTCACACTTATTTGAACCACATTTTCTCGTAAATGTTAAAATATTATTAAAAAGTAATTAATCCTGAATTATGTCGCTATTTTGTCAAGTGTTTTAAGATAAAGAAAAGTAATATTGATTGTCAATTCAAATAAAACATCCAAAAAATTTTTTGACCAAAGTACACCATAGAAAATCAATTTTCAATTTTGGACTAGGGGCGACCCTAGTCAAAATCAATTGTCACTTTTTTTCTTCGAGGGTTTATACAAATGGATTGAAACTTTGCATAAATATTTTAGTGCTTAAAACAAATACAAATAAAATATCCTAAACTTTTTTTGAGCAAAGAACCAAGTAGGAAACTAGATTTTGACTAGACCTGTCCCAAGTTCATAATTAAAAATGTATTTCCTACTTGGTTCTTTGCTCAAAACAATTTAGGATATTTTATTTGTATTTGTATTTAGCATTAGAATATTTATGCAAAGTTTCAATCCATTTGGATAAACCCTCGAAGAAAAAAGTGACAAAATTGATTTTGACTAGGGTCGCCCCTAGTCCAAAATTGAAAATGTATTTCCTACTTGGTTCTTTGCTCAAAAAAATTTTAAGATGTTTTATTTGTATTTGTTTTAAGTACAAGAATATTTATGCAAATTTTCAATCCATTTGGATAAACCCTCGAAGAAAAAAGTGACAAAATTGATTTTGACTAGGGTCGCCCCTAGTCCAAAATTGAAAATGTATTTCCTACTTGGTTCTTTGCTCAAAAAAATTTTTGGATGTTTTATTTGTATTTGTTTTAAGCACTAGAATATTTATGCAAAGTTTCAATCCATTTGGATAAACCCTCGAAGAAAAAAGTGACAAAATTGATTTTGACTAGGGTCGCCCCTAGTCAAAAATTGAAAATGTATTTCCTACTTGGTTCTTTGCTCAAAAAATTTTTTTTTATCCAAAGTTTAATTTAAAAAAAATCACAGTCAACTTTTGTTTCGAAAAATTCGTAAGAAAGGAAAGTTTTTTGCTTTTTCTGAAGCAACGGCTGTTCCTACCTTGCCTACAAACAATACCTCTTCTATAGAGCAGCACGGATCAAATGTAAAAAACTAGAAGTCTCTACAATGTCTCGTTATCGAGATTTCTTGCTGATAAACTTGCTTGTTTGCTTGCTTACAGAAAGCATATTTTGCGATTTTTTCAGCAATGCCGCAACCAATTTAAAATCTGTTTTTTGCAAAAGATGTGAAATTCAAGGCACAAACTTTTCATCTCTGAACATTTTAAGCTATCTTATGTTTTTGTTCGAGATATTCAACTGATTTATTGTTTTTCTCGGATTACTGAGATCATTATTTTACACTCCATATTCTCACAAAATTCGAAAAACTGATTTTTCAATCTGAACAAAACCAATAGATTCACACGTGAAAACGGCGTGAATATAAAAAATTCAATCTGAACGAGTGTGACAAATGAAACAACATGGATGTTCATAAAAATACTATAAAATCAAACATTTTATTAAATTAAGTTCAATATTATCTACACAAAGAATAAAAAAAAATAAACAATTTTTAATAATTTACAAATCTTGTCCTTAAAATCTATTGACTCTTTACAATCATTGAATTAGCATTAAAAATAAATCACAAAAAAGTTAAGCTAGAGTGCAGTTGTAGCTTGTAACTTTACATATTTGTTTGTATGAGTTTCATCCTCAGGTTGGGTATTGATGGAATCATCCGAGTACGAGGGTGATATGCTAGTATCTGAATGATTTGTGTGCTTATAATAGTAACGATATTTACTCCATAGAATATAAATTATAGATATTGACATACAAATAATTAAGAAGCTAAGACTTAAGTTAGGCCATAATGTATTATAATATCCTTCACTCGGATACACATCAATAGAATCATCATGTTCATGTATAGGATCTATTCTTTTGACATTTTTAAAATCATTCCTCATTGTCGAGTAGCTCGTTGATCTCATCGTATCGTCATTCATATAAACTTGTTCATCTTTTTTATTAGAAATGACATCAAAGTTTGCGATGTCCGATTCGTGGGTTGACGACTGCAAGACTCTTGAGTTTAAATCAACTGTTATTACATGCTGTGGTATTAATAAGAAGCTACTTGAACATCCGACAAAGAATTGATAATTGTCTTCTGAAAATATCATGCAGAATTCATAAGAATTTCCTAAATTGAGTGGAACTTTTGGTGGAATTGACACAAGAAATTCCTCATCATCTGATGTCGACATTATGGAACGATATGAAACCTGTGAAGGAGATGATTTATGATTGAGAGAGGTTTCCTTATTACGTAACGCTAAGAACTGGACCCCCCTTAAAAGCATTACGTAAACTGTGAACGGCCCCTTACTTACCATTGTTCTATCAAGTCGCATCCTTATGTCTGCTCCCTCAAAGACAACCAATGAATGAAAATCGAGTGTCTTTTTGAGCTGAATCATCCAATTCAGATTGAGAATGTTTGGAGTTGTGAAATTGTAGTCTAGGAACTTAATCTGTAAGAATAATATTTAATTAAAATTAATTTAAGTAGGTAGACATAGAATATGATCATCACTCACGTTGTAACTTGAATTAACAAGTGTGAAATTGTCGAGAAAATCTACATAAATGCTGTTAATTTGTTGCATAATCCGATCATCTGTGTCCGATTCCATGTGATTAATTTCAGCACATGTAAGCTTCTCAATTTCAAGCTGTGACAGTTGAGCACCTTCAAGGAACGGTGGAGTCTTGCAAAATGCCATTAAATCCTGCAAAAAAATGACACGGTTAATGAAAACATTTCGTAAGAAATATTAGGCAGCATTAAGGTATTACATTTGCAGAAATTTGAGTTGTATTTGACAGCCACTCAGCGAAATATTGTAATTTACAATCGCATGCTAGTGGATTATCGCGTAATGAGAGAATTTTCAAATTTTTTGCTGATATTAAGGCATTCTTCTCGATAATCGCTATATCATTTCCATCAAGTCTAAGCTCTTTAAGCTGTGGAAGAGGTGATATAATGTCAGCCGTAATTGCCCTGATGAGAGAAAGTTTGTAAATTTTTTAATTGCATAAAGATTATTTTAATTGTAATAATAGAAGGTTAGATCATAAATTACATCGATTAAAATTTTGAATTTTAATACCACACCCCCCCCCCCCCCCATTTAAAAAAAATTGCCCAACGTGGTTTCAATACCACTTTTAATCTACATAATTTATTAACAAATCCCAAGCAATTTTCCATACCTTAAAAAGTTGTGTGTGAAGTCAAGAAGAACAAGACGATTCATATGCTTGAGAGAACCTTCAGACACAGCAACAATTCCATTATAACTCAAATCTAAAGTCTGAAGAGAGTTTAGTCCGAAAAATGCATCATCAGCTAAGACATCAATCTGATTGTGGTTCAATGTAAGTGACAGAAGCTTTGGATAATTCTTAAAAGTCTCCCGCTGAATACTTGAGAATGAGTTTCGTTCCAAATTAAATGTTTCAAGTTCTTTGAGAATCGGGAGCATTTCAGAGCTTAATGAACCTTTAATTAAATTAGATTTGAGGTCTAATTCTCGCAAATTAACACATTCTGCGAGTGTCTTCAAGCTGCCTGGTGAATTACCCAGTTTATTTCCATTCAGTTTTAAGGTGACTAGATTTTTGAGTGGTAGAAACGTTTTTTGCGATATTGATGATATTTGATTCTCACTAAGCTCAAGATATGTTAATTTCTGTAGTGCAATAAAGTCTGATGATGACAGCATCTTGATATCATTATTGGACAAGTCTAGACGATCGAGTAAGGTCAATTGTTGTAAGCTATTTGATGGCACAGATGTGAGAGCATTATTTGGTAATCCAAGAATTTGTAGAGGTGTTTTAAGTCCACTAAATGCAAGTCTATGAAGTCGCTTAATTTCTCCAGATGAGATGAAAAGTCCAGTCAATGAGACATTCTCAAAGACTCTTGCTTCATTAAGTACGGTGACATTTCGGAGTGTACAGTCTAGAATAGACACAACTGAGGTACTTGTTCTAATTGCATCAGCAATTAAGGACAATGCATGCACATCTGCACCTGAACATCGAAGTGTTAATGGAACATCACAGCCACATTCTAGACTACGATTATCTGTGATATTTGGGCACTTCCAATTTCCATCTTCAACAAGCTTTGACTGAGTCAAGCTCAAATTTTTTCGAAGAATCAGCGATGACTTCTTGTCAGCACCTTTATTAACATACTTAGGCTTTGGTGAACTCTTAACATTAAAACTTTGGTCTTCACTTTTTTGTTGCTTACTATTTTCTAATTCTAAACTTTGGTTAATTTTGAAGCCATGTTGTGGCGCTTCCGTTGTAGATAATGTTGATGAAATTCTTTGATTAATATTAAGTAATTTTGTTATCAGTACAGAACTATTATTTTGCGCATGTTGTTGCCTGTTCAATATTTGCTGATAACCATTATCGTCTTCATATTCTAGTGCCGAAAGCAGCAATATATTACAAAATATGATGAAATATCTGCGAAAGTAAGAGGGAAAAAATGGAATAAATTTATTGCATAACATTTAAAATAGTTCATTAGTTCACAGTCATAATCGCATTTCTTATCACAATTTTAATTCGAACTCATTTTATTTCCATTTGTTCCGCGAAGCTGTGAATATGCAAATATTATTCCTCGCTTTAAACTCAATATTACTTTTGTTTACATTCATTGAATGTAGGAATTTCGGTCGATGTGAATTGGCAAGAGAGTTATCGAAAAACGGTGTTCAAAGAACCTTGATTTCTAATTGTAATACTATTAATTGGTAATTAATTAAATTATTTATTTATGACATTAATCTCTTTGGCATAGATGTTTGCTTAGCTGAGGCTGTGAGCTCTTTGGAGACGTCAAAAGTCAATAACAGAACAGTTACGCTATTGGAATTGGGCATTTTTCAAATACCAAACAAAGAATGGTGTGGCAAAAACTCTAAAATTGGTGGAAAGTGTCAATTGCCATGTGATAGTAAGTTTCTTAACGGATTTTTTTTTGAATTTTCAACGCTTTTAATTTGAATTTTTGAAAACAATACAAATTTTTTAAATCATTTGTAAGGTTTTAAATCATTTTCAAATATGAATCAACCGTTACATATCAATTTGCAGAACTCACAGATCCAAAAGTAACTGACGATATAGAATGCGCAATGAAGATTCAATCACAATTTGGATTTAAGTTCTGGCGACGCTGGAATGAACGATGCAAAAGCAACGATCCATCAGATCCTTGGAAATTTCTTCCTAATCTTATCAATTGTGGACATTAAAGCAAACCGCGCGGCAAGTGATTCATTGTTATTGTTATGTCCAACTTATTAAATTTAATTGAAATGTATTGTATTATTACCATTATCATTATGAAAAAAATCTTCAAAAAAAAAGAATAGTGATTCAGCAAGGTTGAAAAAATGTATATAATTTAAAAATCTTTTTTTGTATTGGTGAATCTATTAAAAAACATATTCCCAAAAATAAATTAAATAACGTCAGTCTATTAAAAAGCGAGAATGAAAGCAGTCATATTTGTTTTGGTTCTTATCGGTTGGGTCGGAGTTCAAGTTCATGCAAAAATTTATTTGTCATGCGAACTTGCAAAAGAATTGGGGTCTAGTACTATTGAACGGCATTTAATCCCACATTGTAAGTCTGTTGCCGGTTTATCTATTATGACTTATTTTTATTGAATTTTAGGGATATGCTTGGCACAAGCAGAAAGCCAAATGAATACTTCAAAAGTCGTGGATATGCCGAATAAATCATCAAATTATGGTATTTTTCAGGTAAGTCCGCTTCCTGTTCGTCCCTTAAAATTTTAATTCTACCTTATGCACAATGCAGATCAACAGTAAAGATTACTGCAGTAAAGACAGAAAAGGTGGACTTTGTAATATCAAATGTTCAGGTAAGGTCAATTTGAATAAATATTAGTCATCAAAGACAATATTGAGTCAAGACTAGACACATCGTATATCCGATAATTTATTACTTGTAGATTTACTCGATGACAACATTAAGGATGATATAAAATGCGCAAAAGATATCTTTGCACGTGATGGATTTAAAGCTTGGAAGGGGTGGGTCAACAGATGTAAATCGACAAGCACAACAGAAAAGAATAATGCGCTTCCTAATCTCATCAATTGTCAATATAAATAAAGCCGGCTAGCTTATCAAGCAATTTCACACAAAGCTAATTAGAATTTCTCAGTAACTCATAATAAACACAGAGGTCAAGAGCTTATCATTCAATTACAACCAGGAATTCCCCTACATACACAAGTGTCAGCCACACAAATCTATTTATTATTTGTGAGAATAAATTCCGCAGACACTCTGAACAATTTCCTCATACAAACAAAACAATTTACTTGTTAATTGAGAATCTCTGTGTTCCTTCTCATACACAATTCATACTTTGTTATTATTTATTATGAGTTTATGTATGTACCGCAACTCTCGATTCGAATTAAACTATCCACATGTATAATTTTCATGAATGAATATAAGGTAAATAAATATGCAAGTTTCGCAGTACGGAGTGAGTGTTGATTACAGTTTAATCAAATCAATCCAGAGAGATCTAGAGAATAAACTTGAAGCTGTTGTTACTTTTTGAATAAAACAAGTTTGCATGACTTTTTTTTTGTGTGTGAGATTTCTAATGACGCAGTTTTGTTTGAATTGCAAATGTTGAATTACTTGAATGTGATTTGAGTGGGTGTTACAAGTTTGGTCAGTTTTGATGATCTTGAGGCAATTTGATTTCATTGTCAATTCTTTATTTGATTCTTTGAAATACAGACGATTGTCAATTTAAAGTTTCTGATGAGTTTGGAATGAAAAATATTTTAACTAGACCTTTAAAGCACATCCTTAAAATGAATTAGTACTATAATAATGTCTATGCAGTTCTAATTCAGTTTTACTAGACGAAAATAAAACTTTAAAAAAAAAATCTCAATTTTGAATTACCCTGTTTTTTCGTTATAAGCTTAGTAGCTTAGAAGAATAAAAAAGCGATTTTTTTGGCTCACTAGTAGCTTAGTAAAGAAATTGAACTTCAATGAAAATTTTGAATTTTTTAACTTAATTAAAGAAATTTTGCTATCTTCTCGATTTTATTTCATTGACAATGTCATAAGGCATTGAAACTGATACTTAGAAAGTTGAAAAAGATCAATTAAACTTTATTTTTGGTAGTAGCTTAGTAAAGATTCCAAAAAATTTTCAAGTTCAAAAAAACTTTACTAAGCTAGTAGCTTAGTAACGAGTAGTAGCTTATAACGAAAAAACAGGGTAATTTAAATACAAGGAAAAGTTCCCTTGACAATCCAACCTAATCTAATCCTATTCTTACTAGATAATCATTATTAAAGTATAATCGTAGTCAAAAACTAAGTTTAGGCTTATACTTTATGAACCAAGCCTCTTAAAATATATCTTGCAAAAATGTTAGAGAATCAACTAAACCGAGTCAAATCTTAATCTATGGAAATCCCCAATCCAATCAACTTAGTAATTTTTGAATTAAGCAGTCACCCAAATGAACAGAGTTCTATTATTGACTCATAGCATGTGGGGAAATGCATAATAAACACGAATCTGAATGATAATCAACAAAAAATTTACTTCAAATGTCTCACGAGTCATCAGTTGTTATTTAATTTAATGCCTTAACGGATAGAATATTCCTTATTCTCGAGCTCAATCTCCCTTATTTTAATAAATAATAGATAGGAAAGTTCCTTATGATTGTACAGTAATCTAGTGCTAATTATAGTGATAATTTAATTTATTGCCAAAAAAAAGTGTTAATTGATTGAATGAAAGTGGAAAGAAATTTTTTATTTAATTATTGATTCCATCACATGGCTTCTTTTTCACACGCCTAGAGAGATAATTAAAGTATAGTTGCCCGCGAAGAAGATAATAATAAAATTTACATCAATTGAAAGTGTTTTTATTAATTTAATTTTTTTTATGAACAAATTTTCCATCTTTTTAAATATTTGGAGTGGAAATAGAAATTTAATTAATTCATTTTGGTAACTTGATTGCTCTTTTTATCTTGTCTATCTCTCTATATCTGACTTTTATCTCTCTGACTTGAGTAGGAAAACTTTTTCTCAATCTATCATTACTAGAGTCGTTCATATGTGATGTAAATGGTATTTTAAGGATTTGAGGAGGTCTAGTGATGTGTGATGTACTTAAGATTTTGAAACAGATTTGTGGTGGGCTTATCAAGAAATATGTAGGAACCAAACCGTTACAAAGTTAGATTTAATGAATCTTAAAGATTTAAATCCAATTTCAGTTCTTGAAAATTCTTTAGATTAAATTTAAGAATAAAGCAAACCCAAATACTCAATTTCTAATAGACATCATCTTTAATCAATCCCCCATTTATGAAGGTCACATAAACTGCGCATAAAATCGCCACTTCAGAGTCCACAATGATTCAGATTCGGAAAAAATGTTCAAAAATTCCTTGTGCACAATACTTTTCCGACACATTAGAAAATTGAAAGTTTTTGTTAATTTCTCTTGATTTGAATCTTTTAGCATCTTCTAGATAATGTTTTCGTTCATTGCTCAAAAAATCAGTCCTTAATATAAAGGATAAACATGATTTTTTACCAAAACTTTGTAAAAGTTTATCAAAAAATATTGTGCATGATCAAATTTTGTATGAAAATTGATGTAAATTTGATCGCAAATATCTCGAAAACGGCATCAAACGGCATGTCCCCAGTTGTATGGGAGATAGATTTGAGCTTAATTAATTGATTTGTATAGGTTTCAAAGAGGTCTTTGGAAGACTTTTTAACTTATGAATAGTTTAAGTTTTGTAAAAATACTCAGATTTCAATTCATTTTTAAGGCTTAATAAGCAGATTTCTATTGAGTTTGTTGTTTTAATATGTAAAGCTAAGCTTAAATTAGCTAGTAACTGCTTTCAAGACATCCAAATAACAACTTAAAGTAGAAAAAATCATATTTTTTTTTCATACACAAATTGTAAACAAATTTTGGGTGAGATTAAATTGATGATTTCTGGAGTTAGACATCAAATTGGGACGAGATATTTTCATAGGATATGACTCAAGTTAAGATCTTTAATCTGGCATTTAAAAGATGAAGTTTAATTAATATGTTATTTTTGAATTTTTGAACATTTTTTCCGATTCTGAATCATTGTGGAGTCAAGTCTCTCTCTTTTATGATCGTATAGAATGTTTCTAACTTAGAACTCTTTTTTTTATTGACTTCACACATCATTTTGCAAATTGTTTCAAAGAGAAAATGACTATGTCTAATGTTTACTTCCATTAAATCTCTTATTCTTCGTGTCTATCTAATTAACTTATAGCATCATTTTAATTCTTCATCATTTTATTGCTACAATATCATTTTATTGTTGTTATTATTGCTATTTATGTCTATTTGACTAACTGACTCTTAAAAATAATACAGGGCGAGCATCCAATTCATAAAAAATGAGATACATTGAACTATCATTATTACTTGGCATATCTCTCTTTAATATGCCTGTAACAGATGCCAAAATCTTTACAAGATGCGAATTAGCAAAAGAATTATTTAATAGTGGAATACCCAAGACATTCATTTCAAATTGTAAGTGAGTGTGCATTAAGAAATCTTTTTGCTCCTTAAATTAACTTCTTATTACGGATTTTAACATCATCATCATCCTCGTTAATATCGTGTTTTTTGTTTCGTAGGGGTTTGCTTAATAGAGTCTGAATCAGGTGCTGACACATCAAAAGTCTCTGAACTTCCAAATTTAAGCACAAGTTATGGAATTTTTCAAATTAATTCAAAGGAATGGTGTCGGAAGTCTCGAAAGGGCGGGGAGTGTGGAATGAGATGTGAAGGTAATTACTAGGAGCTGCTATTATTGGCAATAGCTGCAAAAAATTTAAAATTTCAGTTAAAAACCATGCAAATGTTTAAAAATTCAACTTTAGATTTGGATGGTTTTGAAAATTTAACGAGCACTTTATTCAAATTTAAATTCAACGTTACATATTGAAGACTTTCAAATGACATCAAAATAGAATCAAACCCTGATTTATTGACTGTCTTGGCTAATTGGTCAACATTTCTCTAATTTATTATGAACTCTTTTAGATTTCCTAACAGAAGACATCAAAGATGATATCAAGTGTGCTAAAGTAATTTATAATCGACATGGTTTTAAAATTTGGAAAGGATGGATGTCACGATGCAAATCTCGTCCATTACCTGATGTGTCAAAATGTTCGTATGCCTTGTCATATGCCTAAATAGAGAATTGCTTGTTGTCAATTTCTACATCATTCAATCATTCCTCGCTTTTGTTTTCTCTATTGTTGTCTATTAAGCCAGAAAAGACATTTTAAATGATGTTCTTTTGTGATGTGACTAGCAACGTTGAATTTTTGATTTTAAATATTAGCATGACGGTGATTTAAAATCATCATTCAAGTTGCTACTCTCAAGACTTTAACTTTAAAATTCAAAGTTTTGTTCGAAGAATTAAATATTTTTTTTTTCTCTTCTTTCTTTGTTTCCATTTCTTCCTTCACGAACAACAAAAATCAATAATACATCCCGAAAATATAAAAAACAATTGGACAATCGGTAACCAAAAAAACCGCAAAAATAAAACAACATTCTCAATAAATTCGAAAAAAAAAAACACTTTACATATAAATGGAAGGTTTTGGCAAGCGCAAGAAGTAAAACCTACATACAGCATGACTTCTTCTCACTTCAGTAGACACGTACATACACACACACTTATTGTTCGTTTGCGGAATATTTCTTTACTTCTTTTTAATTTTATTATTTTTCCTTACAAATTTGAGAAACAAGTGACGATTTTATTTTTTGTTGATACTTTATACTGTATGGGCTTACATTTTTTTGTGGGTGTTTTATATAATATTAATGAATGTTAAGAATAAGCGGCCTGTTTCACTAAAGTGGATTATCCTTGATTTCGGATTATCTACTTCATTTTTTCGGAAATATCTCCAGACGCTTAAGGTTATTAAGAGATCTAAAGTGTGATCTCCTTAAAGTACTTTGCTACTTAAATTAACATATACTAAGAATTTTTATATCTTCATTAGATTGAGAATTATAGCAAAAATTGAAGTTAATCTTCTAGATTTGGCTAGAAAATTGAATAATTAATACTTCTTAATGAAAAGTAAAAGTTTAAAGTGTACAGAAATTTCAGGCATACTTCACTCTTTTATAATCCAAAATTAGAAATACCACACCTCCCATAAAGTTTAAGATATTTACAAAAAACTGAAATGGAACAGGGGCTGTTCACTTATTACGTAACGCGAAAAAACAACTTCTTAGACCCCCCCCCCTCGTAACAAAATTTGTATGAAAAAAAAATTTCCTTGTTTGAACCGTAACAAAATCTTAGACCCCCCCTCCCCCTAAAAGCGTTACGTAATAAGTGAATGGCCCCTAATCCGAAATCGAGGATAATCCACTTTAGTAAAACAGGCCGAAGAAGATTGTACGATTAGCTATAGAATTTTATTAATAAAGCGATTAATTGAATTTAATGAAATAATTAGCTGATTTTCAGTCTCGACACTGTCTTAATTAAAAATTATTGATTTTTGGGGTTGTTCAAAAGTGCTGTCTAATTAAGCCAGGCCAAAGGCAAAACCAGAATGCTCAATGAATGGGGAAAATTATTGTAAATAAATTTTTCATTTATTTGCATAATTCACAGAACCTAAGGCACACCGTTCCCAAATCTACAGCATTCTTATCAGCACAAATGTGTTTAAAATATAATTAAATTTCCAATAAGTCATTGAAAACTGGCAAGAATTAGCTCATTCAACGCTTATTTGCAATTTTATTATGAAAACTTTTTAATCGCTGTTTCCGTTTTGCTGGGAACAGAAATTAAAGGCAAGGCATCTTTTACGGTCACGTTGCATGCCTATCACCATGTTATATATATATTTACATTTTGTGATTTGTTTCTTTCTCATGACTTAATCAAAATGCAAATCATACGTTTAAAGCTTATTACTGGATTAATGTGACAGCTTGGTGTCAGATTGAAAAATTCTTTATGTATACAGCTACAGGGAAGAGCATGTCACTTAGTAAAATAATTAGATGGCGTTAAGGAATTCATCTTTAACACTTCGCTAATTGAATTATCATTCTTAAGATTTTATTTTGTAGATTCTATGGCTTTTCTTTGTTTATGTTGGATAATTTTGAGAATGTTCACACTTTTTGAGCTTATGACTTGAGGCTTTACTTTATTTAATGAGTTTGGTTCTTTGTCATGTTGTTTTTGACAGAATCAATTAATTGAATACTTCATTAGCTGGTCAACCAATTTATATTGCATTCTAAGGTCTTGGAGTTATTTCAAACTTGATCTACTGGATCTTGAAATTCAAAATCTCTTGTGTCGGCACTTAAAATCAAGAATGTTTGCCGGTTTTTAAGCTTTTATTCATGACTTAATGTACGCGAGTTAAATGAGCCATAAAATTACTTTTAATCTTCATGTTCTGTGACGATTTAGAGGTTATCAAGGTTCATAAATGTATTATCTATTAACAGACTCTCATTGCATCAGAATCATTCTCGTATCAAGCATAAGAAATTGTCAAAACGTTTATAAACACGTGAAATTAGCAATTCTAAATAGATGACTATTTCAGGTCGTTTGACTTGACGTAGCTGAGCTATTATCTAAACTCGTTCAATTTTTTATGAGCACCTTAGTCCAAAATATCCTCTAAAAGCTGCTTAGACTAGTTGATACATTTTTAATGTTAATTATAATAAAGAAGAAAAGTTTTAGATGATTTTAACTTGATATGAATGTTCCGGATCTTTCTTCTTCTTTAAATCATAAAAAATGTGAAAAGTATAAACAGATACGCTAGAAAGATATCACCGTTTCGGACATGGGCATCTATTTTATTACCCAGAATTACTTAGTTCAGTTTAGCGTAAGTAATGAGTGGTCTTACTACTTATATAAGTGTGTATAATATTTTTAAGATCCAGCTTTAATTCATTAGATGAAATATACATACTCAAATTATACTTTTTGGACTTTAAGAGTACAAGAATAATATCAAAAAAGAATAAATGACGGCTCAAAACGGAAATAAAGGAAAACATTTTTCGATTGTCTCGTTAAGTCGAGCGACGTCTTTCACGTTGATTTGTTTTGTCAGAAATGTTATTATTCCCATAGTCATTGACGAAACCTTAAATCATTTAAATCATACATTTAAAAATATTATGAATGAAATCTCTAATTTGATGAATGTTGGACATAAAAGGTAGCGACGCTTAAAAATCACAGCTCTGCATTGTATATGGCAGCCAAATGTGCTATAATCATATTAAGGTAAGCTCAATCACGTATTACAAAATTTTATTTTTGTAGACCCGTTCATTTATAATTTTAGCGCATCGGAAATTTGAGTATAGTGCTGATGCATTCGGTTTTTTCAATTCATTCAGACGCTGAGTGTTAAGTCACAAATAATAAGATGTTTACTTTTTGATGGAAATGCTTAATGGACAATTTAATGGGGATTTTTATTGATGGGACTGTGTCAATGGAATTTGGAACGGAAAAAATTCAAATTTTCCATCAACTAAGTTCAAAATTTCAACTTAGTTCAAATTTTTAACGAAGAAATTTTTAATAAAAACCGTTAAAAAGGTCAATCTACTATAAATCATGAAAATTTCCCCAAAAAAATCTTCAAAAACAAAAGAGTCATAACATTTTGGCAAGAAGCATGCCAAAAGAAAGATGAATGATTAATTTAATACAGTAATAATGATCATATATTACTGATAAGCCATCAACAGATGCTTAAATACATTAATAAGTTGATATTAAAAATTTATTCCAAAAAGACATGCTTAAATTAAATAGTTGTTGGCCATCAAGGAAATCTTTTATTCATCGTCATTAAAAAAGCGCTGTTTCGGTTGTTAAAATTCAGAATTATAAAAATGACCCCAGGATCATCAATTTCTTATTCTTTTAAACTGAAATTCTAATTTCTTCATTTAATATGCATTTTCATCAAGGAATAATCAATTTTCGAGATTGCCTCGTGAGAGCAAGAGATGCCTCTTTTTTTCGGGAGTAAACGAGATCTGCATTTTGAAAGCAATGCCTAAAGGAGAGAAGCTTAAATGTATTCCAATCGTTTTATTTTAATTTATTCAATAAATCGCGATTCTTATTTTTCAGCATCTCCATTTGACTCAGCTCTGTTGCCTTGTGCTTCTTTTTAACTCACTTCTTTTTGAATTTTTTATTTATTTTATATTTTCAATGGAAATCATAAGAGATGTCTAAGAAGTCGGATTTAAAAATATGAATTGTTTTTACCATTTCTTGATTGTCTTAAAATGATGATGGAGCATCACTAATGTTGCCAAGATGTATAAACAGCTGACTCATTTGTGTTTAATAATGTTTTTTTCTCTTTCTTTAGCTCAACAATTCATATTCATTTACTAATGTTTCTTGTTTTTCATCTTTGTGTGCCTCGAAACGACACCTACGCACAAATAGTTTCTCTATCTGGAGTTCATAAATCTGCTTGCATCACAACAGCAATCAACATTTAACACGATTAGCTGCCTCAACTTGAATTTTTTTCATAAATTTTTGATCATAATTTTGAGAAGAATGGTTTGGAGTGGATGTGATTTGGACTGTTGGCTGACTGGATTCTGTGGTTTTTGAAATAGGAAAGTCTAATGCTTAACATGTGATATTTTAATGGTAATTTTTGAATCAACAAAGAGCAGATTCCAAACGTTTTACAAAGATCGAAATTTTCTAGATTTCAAGCATCAACCCTTGTGATCTTAGTAATTGAATTACTCAAAAGCAACCTCATGGATCAACCCAAGTTTAAATATTAACAACCAGTCCAAAACTTTACACTTGATTCCACATAAAGTTCAACTTCCGACCAAACATTAATAAAAATATTCCACTAATAAATCAGACATGAAATAAATTTCTAATTCTTCCAATTCAATAGTTGATCGTTCAAAAGAATGCGCTACCACAATGCATATCCAATAATTCATTCTTACGTTATTTTATTTTCTTCATAAATTTATTTCTGTGCTTTTTCGTTTCCTCATCGTATTCAATTCAAGTTTCATTTGCCTTTCGGTTGTTGTTGCTGCGCCGTTTCAATGAATTTAGGTCTCTTTAGTTGAAAATTTATTTTTTGTACATTTTATATTCATTAATGAAAGCACATCGATGTTATTATCATACATATATTGATATACATAAACAAAAAAAGAAGTAAGAGATGAATAATACTTGAAGAAGAAATAAATTAATTTTTGTACATATCTTACTACTTCCCTTTCAGTTGCCAGATAAAAACATGAATGAAGAATCAAAAATAAAGGCATAAAACTCGTTTTATTCTCGCATTCTCCCTTTCCCCCTCCAATTTACAAATAAATATCGATATCTCATAAAATTAGCAAATCTAGTGGAAAAATTGTTTGCTTCTGTTGTGGATGGAAAAATATGATCACGTAATGAAATTGAGAGTGATACTTTAGACTTAACATGTTGAAAAATAATTTCTTTTGATTCGTGCCGCACATCTCGCATATATACATCGTGAGTTCTGTTCTCATTTTAAGGAGGATTAGACAAAATTGGATTATTTAGTTGAAGATAAGAATGAGAACTCTTCCGTACATAGCATGTGTGAGGTAAATTGAATTTCTTTCGTGTCTCTTTCATTCTCTTTAAATATTCAATAAGCGCCGCGTGCATTCATATATTGGAAATTAAAAAGAATTTCTTTCTCTTCCTCCCATTTATTTTTGGATGTTATTCATTGACAATAAAGCTCATGCATCCAATTCATTTTACATTTTGTTGAGAATACC